TGTCTCCAGATAGTTTCGAAATTACTTTGAAATTTCTTCTTAATCTGTGACCATTTAAGAACACTGAGTTTGGCCGGGCGGTGGTGGCACACGCCTTTAATCCCAGCACTCGGGAGGCAGAGGCAGGTGGATCTCTGAGTTCGAGACCAAGCCTGGTCTACCGAGCGAGTTCCAGGACAGGCTCCTAAACAATACAGAGAAACCCTGTCTCGTAAAACCAAATAAAAAAAAAAAAAAGAGAACACTGAGTTTATGGGTCTGGAGAGATGGCCCAGTGGTTAAGAGCGTGCACTGCTCTTCTAGGAGTCCTGAGTCCAGATACCAGCAGCCATGTTAGCCTGCGAAAACCTCTAACTACAACTCCAGGTGTTCTCTTCTGAACGCTGTGGGAACCTGTACCCCAAATAATACACAGACACACATTTATATGCCATTTAAAACATAGTAAAGACTAATCCATTGAGGAAAGTAACACAGTTGAATTTTCCTCCTGGCATTTCAGTGACCACGTGTGCCTCAACACTCAGCAGCAGCAGCTTTGGATCCTAATCTCTTTGGTCCTCATCCCATGTTGGTACCTGAGGGATGCTGATGAGTATGGGGGTGTTCTTTTTTTCTTCAGTCCTTTGAGAGAGCTTGGGAATGGCTATTAAATCCCCCTCTAAATGTTTGCTCGAATTCTTGAGTGAAGCCGTCTGGCCCTGGCTTTTCTTGGAAGGTGCTCTCGTTACTGCCCCACTCTCTTCACCAGCTACATGTATGCATGACGATTCTGCGTAAGCAGGTTAGAACACTCCAGAAATGTACTACAGTTGTTGATAGACATCTTGTGGAGAAGAAGTGTTGGCAAAGATGTAGAGACCTGATGCTGGCTGGTGTGAATGTAAAATTGTGTCACCGTCATTGTGAGACACCACAGTGGGCCCTTTAGAAAGTAAGTTAGAATAACACGCTGCAATGATCTGTCCCATTATATGTACTTAAAAAACCTTCAAAGTGGGGTTTAAAGGGTTACTGTATGTCCACTGTGGCATCCCTAACTCTGTTCTATACTTCCAAAACTCTCTTATCTCCCTCTTCCCTTCAGGAGAATTTAGTTTTTCCACTTTCTCTCCCTCATTGGATTACGCACACCTACAAAGTTAAGCCTAAAGTTAAATATACTGGACAGATGCTCTTCAAACCCTTCCTGAGATATGTTGAATACGACACTTAAATTGTTTACAGTTTCCACTGTAGATATATTCATGACTAGCACAAACCCTATCATCTCCAAAGAAGACAGACAGGTCACAATGATGACTTCACCTGGATTATGCTAACACTAACCACTGGGATAAATTGTCCCATGCATTACCTGTTGTCATAACTCTGCTCAAATTGTAAATACTTTTGGGTTGATTGCCCAACTCTGCCTGGTCAAAGTAAGGTCAATTTTCCCAAGGGCCTCCTCTACAGAAACAATCTCTCAGGCCTGGGTCTGACAGCCAATGGTTTACTGCTGTATATAACAGCCAAAGACCTATCACCACTGCACAACTATTAAGACCACAGGAGCCTAGGACAACTGTCTGTGTAATGAAAAAGTTACCACCATTTTAAATGATACATAGGCCATTTAGACTACACCTCCTACTATAATTTGCCCTTCTCAGTTCTTTGATTATATTGACTGACCAGCCGAAATCTGCACCAAACACTGTCCAGGAGCCTAGGTAGTCACTACCTATGTCAGGTTGCCCCACTATGTTTCTCATTCACCCCACTCACTTCTCCTCCTCATCCACAGTCAGAGCACACAGTCAGTCCTCCAGGCCCCTGCCAACTCCACCCTCAAATCGCTTTCTTCACGGCTTTTCCATTTGCCACTTCTCTCTCCCCATTTCCTCACGGTTGCCTCCTTGTCTCCCTCATTCCCTTACAGAGAAAGAAATGTCCTTTCCAAAATTGACATAAATTCTATTTTTTAACCCAGCCACAGCTTCCAAAACACATTGTATGTCTCTCCTCTTCTTTCCTGTGGCCTTCATTTGTGCACTGTCTCACTCACCAATGTTCCCAAAGCAATGCATATCCTCTGTCTTCCTCTTCCATCAGTCCCACTGTGTGGGATGCCACCTCCCCTTACCTCGCTGCCTCTCATAAACCCCTCTCTATTACAGCAAAGTCCTTTCTGCCTACATCTCCCAACCTGAATCTTCCCCATGCTTAACCAGTCTCTGAAGCCTCAAACCCATCACTCAGCTTGTTTCATTCAAGCTCTTTCTCCATCTCATTCCTTCCCCCTAAAATACTCCTGTACTGGCTGACGCTGGTGACAACTGAGTCATTTCCATGCAAATTAATCTTTCTTTCTTTCTTTCTTTCTTTCTTTCTTTCTTTCTTTCTTTCTTTCTTTCTTTTTCAGTTTAAATTTAGATACGAAACAAGGTTGCTTCACAAGTCAGTTCCAGGTCCCTCTCCCTTTCCCTCCTCCTGTGCCCTCCCCCCAACCCCCCCATTATCCCCTCATTTCCCCAGGGAGGGTGAGGCCCTCCATGGGGGTGTCCATAGTCTGTCAGCAAATTAATCTTTCTAAGAATAAGCATTCTGTGTCTTCACTAACAGAAAGGATCCCCCCCCACTTCTGTACTGCAATCATGTAGATACCAAAACACATTAAAGGAGGACTCTTATATATAGGGTCTGCGGTGATACATTATTTATGATTCAATAAACATTGCCTAAAGGATCAAAATATAAGCCAGCCAAGCTAGTCAGCTACAGGATCTGGGCAGTGGTGGCACACACATGTAGTCCCAGGGCTCTGAAGGCAAAGGCTGATGGAGCTCTGTAAGTCCAACACCACCCCAGGCTACACAAGATTAAATCAATCTGAAGGAGAATCAGCTCATCACTTGGGATCCCATGCATTTAATCTCAGCTCTAGAGAGGTATACAACATAGGAGCAGGTATTCAGTCTGGAAGCATTTTGGTCTCCAGCCATGTTGAGGGGAGGCAGCAGTCTGAAGCTTGTCTGAAAGCTTGTGGATACAGGATCAACTCCTCAAGTATGAGGCAGAGGTAAGAGCTAGTGGCTGGCTGCTTTCCTTTTCTGATCTTCAGCTTGAAGCTTGAACCACAATATCAGTCTCTGGGTTTTCACTTTTCATGTTACAGGGTTAATCTTATTTTCAGTTATTCATAGTTCCTGATAAAATGTTTTAATCATGTTTTATTTGCACTGAGGGAAAAAAATCAAAGCACATAAAAGAAATTGAATTGAAAGGCCAATGCCTGAGACTTGTTCTTTCTGCTAAATTTCATAATAACCCAGACACAAATACTTGAGAGCTAGCAAGCATTTCTTTAGTTTCTACGGTAATGTATTCGAACATGCTAGCAAACACACTTATTAAATTAAATTCTAAGCCACGGAATACAAGACACAATTATTACCTCTCTCTTTATTTTTCCATCTTCTGTGTGTTTTGAAGTTCAATTTTTAGCTCTTTGCAATGTTGGCTACATTGGAATTATAGCTGATTTAGCTCAGGAGTTTATTTTTTATTTTCCAGTGTTTCTTTGAAACTGATTTTCCTTTCTGAATAGCATTAAGAAAATTCAAGGTTAATAAGCATTATGCAATTTCATCTCTGTGGATCTTGGTTCTCCCTACCTGTTTATTAAGCATTTATTTTAGTCTCGAAGCCTAGCCCAGTGATTTACTTCCTCCACTAATGACGCTCCTCTACTCCTCCACAAGCAGAGTTATCAACTGGATGTCAAATGTTCAATTGCTTGAGCCCAGTTCTCATTCAAACCTCTATTGCTTGAGTTTGTTTTTAATGTGTACCTTCGATATTTTTATTTCAGTTTTATAACATAAGTCATACTTTAAAACTTTATAATTTCTTCATCTGTTGATTTATCTGTTTGTTTTCAGGTGGGGCACATACATCACTGTGCAGAAGTAGTTAGCATAGGACAACTTTCAAGACATGGTTCTGTTCTTCTACAGTGTCAGTCCAAGGGATCAAACCCATGCTATCAGGGTTGGTGGCATTCACCCCATTCCACTGAGCCATCTAGCTAATCTCTCTTTGAAGGTTTTACTTTAATAAAACTTTGTAAATCAATACACATGTATTCAAGGGACACATGAGTAAAATGTTCACTGGGCCAAAGAGATCTAAATATGAGAAAATATTTTTTGAGAACATCTGATACTGCATCCAGAATTTATTTAATTTTACTTTATTTTATTTTCAGTAGTTTGCTATACTTTGGTATTGAACTCAGAGCCTCATACAAATAAGACAAACATCATACCACTGATATACAGCCCCTTCTCTATGAAGGTCTTTGTAAGGACTGGCTTTCTCAAACAACTGTCTTTAGAAATGAATTTCATGACCAGCTTTAAATTACTAGGGAAAAAAGTTTCAACCATCTGTACTACATGATGCTAATAACTGGATTAAATTTGTCAGTGCTATAAGTAATCAAATGTGTGACATGAGTAATGAAAGAAGTGATTCAAAACAACAGATGACACATTAATGAGACGTCTAATTTTTGAAGTATCATATCTAGAGTATAAAAGAGAGTTTACAACTCCTAAACAGATAAATAGTTATGTAAATGTCTCATACATAGAAAAGATAAATTTGAACAAATTATTTCAATGTATCATAAACAAGATGCAAACTTTCAGCTCTGAATACTTCCAAGAGTAAAGTGTGTAAATTCATTGAAATTGAATAGTGTTTCTAGATTGGGAAAATTTTAATGATTTCTGAAGATATATGAGAAATACACACTTCCTTTGGTTGAGTTAAAAGAGAAAATGCTTGTTGTAAATAAAGACAGCTTTAAAGTTCAGTGTGTGTGGGGGGGGTCACTGTAGTATTTTCTGGGAAACATTTATGTGCTACCCCCAATGCTTTGAAAATGATATCAGCAAATATTTCTGTCATGAAAAAAAATTATTTTAGAGATCCTTAAGGATAAGAAAGTGTTCCTATAGTAATTCTCATGGTTCAAGAGAAACCAAAATCACACTCTGTCCATGTATTTATGCAGAACAATAATCCCATTACAGCCTTGTTTTCAGTTCTCTGTTGTTCTCAACAACAGGACTTCTGTGCACAACCATGCACCCGCTTTCCTTCTCTGTGAGCTTCACCTCTGCAACTTTCAGCTCTGCAGAGTCAACTTCCTCAGGGAATTGGAGCTTCCTCACAAGTAATACAATGAAGAATGCAGGGAGGTAACTTGATCCTCTTAGAGCTGCTGGCAACCCAAGGTAAACGCGCCTATTGAAAACAGCAAATCTGTATTAAATCTTAACCTGTTCAGTGAAAGCCAATTTTGTATGTTCTTCAGATCATTTACTCTTCAAAGATAAACATCAGGTGATTAGTTTGCCCATGTAATTTATATAATCTACTCTGCTAATTTATTAATTTTGTTCGATAAAATGTCAAGTAATCTCCAATGTGAAAGTGCAAATGTATTTACTACTTCATTTTGATGATCCCTACATTCCATTGTCAACTTGACTGGATATAGGATCATTATAGAGATACTTCTCTAGGTGTGTCTATCAGAATGTTTTCATAAATGTTTAGTTGAGGATGAAGTCCCTTACCACCATGTGATGGTATTCTAGCCCTGCGTGCTTCTTGACATAGCAGACAACATGACCAGCCTCCTCAACTCCCCCACCAAAACTCCTCTGCCATTACCTCACTCAGAGTCCTGCCAATTTTGTCTATTCCCTTAAATACTGAGAAAAAAAACACTCCTATAAGATTAAGGGAACTCCTCTGTTTTGCATGCTCAAATTTTGATCACATATGCATAAAACGTCTTAAAATAATCTTTCTAGATTTCTCTCCTACCAAGAATTGTTTGCTGTGTTATGCCAATTGATTTTTGTGACATCGGAATCCTTGTAAGTATAAAATAAGTCCTGTTAGTTATTTTTAGGTATTAGTAGTTTCAAATTGTTAACTTTCAAACATAATTTTGAAGTTATTATGGTCAATTTATTTTTTATTATTTTCAATATGTAGATGTGTTGGTCTGAGCATAGGAATTTTTTCAGGAGTCTTGATTACTTTGCAGTTGGAGTATCAAGTAACAGTGTGGGTTATGGAAACTGAAAGCATATGATCTGCAAAAAAAATATGAGCTCTTAAGACCTGAGCCATCTCTTCAGCCCCAAATTCTTTTTCATTTTCTCATCTTGCCCAGTTTAAGATTACAGAAGCTTCCTGAAATGAATTAGGTAATTTTCCCTTTGACCATTTCTGAGAATAAATTTTGTACTGGTATAAGCATCTGCTCTTTTTGGATTTTATAAAATATGCCTTAAGATTTCTGGACTTAATATGTTTGGAAGATAGGTGTAGCATGAAAAATAAAAAAAATTATAGAAAGATGCTGGGGTTAAAGTCAAAATCAGAAAAGCAAGCAGCCAACCACTAGAGAGTTTTTACCTCTACCAAGTCTGGAGCCATCGTGTTCTCCTAGTGACCACAGTCTGATGACAATGAATTCCTGTCTCCACCCATATTATATTCCTCTTCACACCCAGCCACATCACTCCTGTCTCCTCCTCCATACTGCTGGGATCAAAGGCATGAGCCACCACCTCGTGGCTCTGCTTCTCTTTTAGACAGATTCCCTCTTGTGTAGCCCAGGGTGACCTTGAGCTCACAGAGATCTATCTGACTCTGTTTCCTGAGTACTGGGATTAAAGGTGTGGCCACTACTGCCTGGCCTCTTTGGCTGTGGCCAGATGTGAATTCTGGTCTTCAGGTAAGCTTTATTAGATCATAAACAAAATTTGACCAAAATTCCCGTTTTTTTTCTAATACAAAAAAAGGTTATAATTGACAAGAAAAACTATATATTGTATGTACAACAACTATGTACAATATATACAGGCAGTCAGTACATCAACAATTCCTAGTCCATTTGCATTTGACAGATGCAGAGAAAAACACTCCATTGTCTATCCTATCTTGGTGAGTCCAAAATCTTATACCTAATTCACTTTCCATTGTAATTCGCAATATAGGTTTATCTTTTAATATCTCTTGACCTTTTGAGAGTTTACACCTCTGTAGTGAGTGTCATTTCTGGGTCTTGTAAATAAAGAAAACTACATCTATCACCCCTCAGAGACCCGAGAAGGAAATAATGTTAACTGAGTAAGTAGAAAGTGCAAGCAAGCGACTTCCAAAACATGTGAGCATTGACAAAAGCAGCTGACTGCCTGTCAGTCAACGAAGGTTCTTCTGCAACACTGGGGCATCCATCTTCAGCCTATAAGCCTAGCATATCTGACAGACTTTTCTATGATGCAGAATTTTTCAAGAACTGTCTAGCCTTGTCTTGGCAAGGTAATGCAGTCACTCTCTTTTGTGTCCTCCTTGCCCAACTGGATCAGCATACTGTCAGTAGTCGAGGTAAGGGCACTTTGTTGCCAAGTGGCTTACTTTTGGCACAAATAAAGTTAACTCCATGTGGAGTTTCTTCAACGCTCATCATATTCTATGAAGTAGATAGGTGGTGTCAGGAACAGACAGGTCTCATTGTCATAGAAAAGAACCTGTGTTATTAAAACATCTTTAATGCCATATTCTGTAGCAGGAATATGCCATATTCTATAGCAGAGACAGATACTGGGGTTGAAACTTCGAGCTGAAGATCAGAAAAGTAAAGCAATTGCACACTAGCTCTCACTCTGTCTCAGAAAGAAAGGTGATCCTGGCTCCATCAAACTTCAGGCTGAAAATTCTCCTCAGTGTGGCTGGAGAATCCTGGGATTTCAATATCTTCCTATCCTCAATATGGCTGGAGAATGAATCCTTAGTACTGAGACCTTGCTCCTGTCTTATATACCTCTCTAATGCTGGGATTAAAGACATGTGATCTCAGGTGCTGTGATCATCTTTGTGTGAACTGTTTAGGACTGAATCAATCATGTGTAGATCTGGGTGGCCTTGAACTCACAGAGATCCCTCTGCCTCTTAACCCTGAGTCACAGGGCTAAAGGTGTGTACCACCACCTCCTAGCTTCTGGCAACTGGGATAAAAGTTGTGTGTCTGGGTTCTATTAGGGTTTGTGGCTGACTTTGCCTTTTGAATCCTCAGGCAAGCTTCAATAAATTGTAAATAATATATCACCACAATGTTCTATAGATCTCTGAAGTGTTTGAATATGACCTATCTTCCTAAAATATATCTCTGTTTTACCTTGAAAACTAATATAACTGTAAGTTTAATTATAATAAGGACTAATCACTAAGCTGCATTTCCTTATTGTCCTAGATAGTTGGTAATAATAACTTTTAAGGAATAGAAATTTGTATTACATTGTTAAATGAGGTGGATAGGTATCACACCTTGAACAAGATTAGAAATGTATGTACACTTTGTTTTAACAAATTAATCTCAAATTTGTATCAATATACAAAATTTGTGTGCAATATATAAAAGTTCGATCCAATCAATGTAAAATATTTACAGTTAGAAGTTGCTCTTTAAAAGTAGATTCAATAATATACCTTCTTACCTTACCATATCAGTATCTTCCCTTTTTTTTCAGAATATATACAATAGTCTATCCTTTTATCCTGCTATATCTGTATCTTCCTTTTTCTTCAAAACAAATACTCTGAATCTAATATCCTTCCTTTCCTGACTGTAACCAATAACAAATTGTAACCAGCCTCCTACCCAATGACAAGTATCCATAACCCAATGAAAAACCAACACCATCCACCCCACCTCTAAGAATATTATTCTGATAATTTCATTGCTGTATAAGTTTATGTCCCCACAAATCCATTGCTGGTTTAGCTGCACATGGCTTTAATTTTCCTCTCTGTCCTTCTGACCTATGCATTTCACCCATTTCAACTCTGTGTCAGCTGAGACAAGTTCCAATCCATGGAAGCTGAACATTTACCTCCTGAAGACGCCAATTTGGATGCTCAGATTCTGGTGAATTTATTGTTCCATTCACACGTGTGTATACCAGGCTCCGAATGACAATGTCAATCATTCATACTTTTAATTTCTGTCTTTTTCATTTAGAGAAGTTTGCCAAAATACTTGCTTTATGATTAATCCTGAATTTTTTGTTCTATTTTCTATAGCTGTTCTATCATCCAGAGCAGTGTGGTTTTTTAAACAGGCATTAGGTTCTTTAGTTATTCTGGGAAGGAGTTTCCTCCATGATGACAGGAAATGACAGAATCAAATTTGGCAACGGGGGCCTGCAAGAGGCTCTTCAAGGAGTTTCTCGGTGGAAAATTGCTGCCTTAAATTCCTCTTGTTGATCTGAGTTCATTGGTCTGATGCCTGCCTTTGCCACACATTCTGCACAATTCAGGAGGGAGGATAGTTTTGCTTGAATTATGCTTAGAAAAACAATGTTTCTAGGAACACCCTGTTTCCAATCCCTTTTAAGGTGACAATTTTTTTCTAAAACTCAAACCTTTGAAATTTCAATTTTTCTTCAAACCTCTTGAAATCACCTGTCAATATTGATAGTATCTCAGATCCATTACCTTTAAAGACCTAACTATCTTTTTCATTGAGAATTAGCAATTTTTAAACCAGAGATTCAATTACTATTTGTCTAGCTTCTGAATTTGGAATCATTCTATTTACAGCTAAAGTGAATCTTTGTAATTAGTCCAGGAAGGCTTCCTTTAGGCCTTATATAGCTCTAGTAAATGATTAAATTTTCCTTTCCTATTTCTCCAGCTCTGTTGTAAGCATTCAAAATTGCTGCTGGCATAAAGTCAGGGTGTGGTCATGATAAAGAAATTGCCTGTCTATAGTAGCATAATTTCCATCTCCAAGAAGTTGAGCTTGGGAGATTTTCATACATCTAGCTTTACTGTGTTGTTCAATGGTCTTAGCCAGGTACTCCATTGTAATTGGGGACCAGGCTCTAAGACAACATCAACCAATTCTATCCAATCTGTAGGGATAATTATGTTACAAGCTGACCATCAGTTAACATATGATTCACAAATGATGAATGCATGCCTTATGAGACTACCACTTACTTGAATCTCTTTAAATCTAACATCGGCATAGGAGTCCAGTTATCTCTTATGGAGCCTCTGTCACTTGTCAATTATTGTAAGGTTACTAGATATATTAAGGTTGGTTGTTGAAAACTTTAGGCTATTCCTCTCTAAAATTATATTGCAATGTTGAATTTGGTTCTAATTTAAATATCTCTTTCTGGGTTTATATATCTCTAAAACCTACTTTAATAAGTTTTCTAAGGCCTATGCCTTGGCCCTCATGTCAACCATTTTTTTAGACATAAACCAAGAATTATCAAACTAGCAATAAAGATTATCATGGCGATGATTAATAGTATGTCGATCCCGGTTAAGTTGATTATCCCTTCATTTAATTGTTCCACTTTTAAATCAAGCACTGTATAATCATACAGAGACCAAAGTCCATTGTTGGTGTGTTTCCCATTTGTTAATGTGGGAAAAATCTCTCTCCTTTAACCAATCCCTTCCTTTAAGAATTCCCAGTTGTCATACCACATCTGCCTACAATGTCAGTGAACTGTGAGGCATAGCAAGTCTGATCAGAGAACTAGCCTGTGACCGTGAGATAAGAGTGGCATCCTGAGGGAAGGGGCTGTATGGAAAGTCCACAGTGGACAGGGGGAGCCTGATGGAGGGGGAGAGTCAGCCTTCTGAATAACCACACATGAGATTGTGTAGAACAAACCTGTAGTGGGTGTGGCCTGGAGGCAAAGACAGCCAGTCTAGGGTGGGTAAGCCTGGTGGTATTTGCAGCCCAGGTGCTTCTGGAGTTTATGTGTCATTTGAAGACTGTTTAGAGAGGCTGCAATAGGAAAATCCCAAACACATATACAGGGTTGGGGAAAAATAAAAGAAAACCTAGCCTGCTGGGAAGGGACTCTGGTGGGAACCCTGCATGTAGCTCCAGGCGAGGTCTGTGGTTTCAAAGCCACAGGCAAGTGGCTTTTTCATGAAACCATACTCCAAATATTAATCAAGAAATGTAGCAAGAATAATTAAAACCAAGAAACAGATATTGTGGATCAACTTGCAGATCAGAAAAAGCAAAACAGCCAACCACTAGAGAGTTCTTACCTCTACCAAGACTGGGGCAATCCTGTCCTCAGAGTGACTGCAGTCTGAATACAATGAGTTCCTGTCTCCTCCCACCTAATATTCATCTCTCTGCCCAGCCATATGACTTCACCTTTCTAGTGCTGAGATTAAAGTTGTGAGCTCTGTTTCTCTTTTAGACTGATTCTCATGTAGATCAGGGTGGCATTGAACTCACAGAGATGCATCTGCATCTGTCTCCCAAGTGCTGGGCATGAAGATGTGGCCACATGCATGACCTCTGTGGCTGTGACTAGATTTTCATTCTGATCTTCAGGCAAACTTTATTAGATCATATGCAAAATGTCACCACAAATAGGTATTTTGAAATGCACATTTTAAATCATTATGAAAGCATTCTTTCATGTTCTAAACATATTTACAGGAAAATCTGTTGGGGTGGATTGTGCTCTCAACTTTATACAGTGTGGAACCTCCTGGAAGTAAGTTTCAGTGAAGGCCTGTGTGGAGTTTGTTGGCCTGAGAACACATTCATGGGACATTATTTTGATTAAATTAACTGAGATAAGAAGTCCCATCACATAGTGGCTTGTACCATTCCTTAGACAAGAAACAGTGGACCACAAAAGAATAGAGAAAGTGATCATGCCAACTTCTACAGTGTTAAAACATATGTATATGTGTAGATGTTTAAGACTTCAGATGTATAACAGTCTAGAAATACCAAGGAGGTTTTTTTTTTTTTACTACAGGGATAATAGGTTAAAAAGTGTTTATTTTTCTGACAGTGTTATAAAAGACCTGGACAAAAATCAATTTAAAGGAAGAAGGGGTCAACTTTGGCTCACAATTCCAGTATACATTCCACTATTGTGGGATATTAAGGCTACTAGAATGTTAGCCAACACCGATACAGTGACAGAAGTAATTGGGTCCTCTACTGTTACTACGGACATGCCAGGCTAGGAATGGTAACCCAACCAATCATAGACAGACATGTTTTGAATACAAAACAAGGGGCAGCACTTTTCCCTCCTAGAATGTTACAGTATATTGCTCACCAACAGACAAAGGAACAGGTCTTACCTACACTTTTTTGCTGAAGTGCTTTTAGGGACAAGTAGGAGCACAGTGCATTCCAGCAAGCAAAGCTTCATGTGGGCTTCCTTGGGTCAACTGCCCTTGAGAGCTATCAAAGTAACAGCCTAAGACTGGTTCAAGATCAGACTAGTATGATCCATGGGCACAGGGCAGAAGTGAACCAAAAAGTTATTATACTATATTGTTAGTGACAGGTGTTTGCATAACACTGAGAATGGTGGTAACCATGCAGTAAACTGCTTTTAGTCTAAGCAGCACCATGAAGGCTCACAACTTGGTGCACCCGGATCTCAGAGTCTAGGCTTCCTGGTCTGCTGGTTCTTGAGGGTAATGGCTCTGGTTATTTCTTTCAGCTGGTGTCTACCACAATCACTCTACTGAGTCACATTTCGTTCATGAGGCAGCCAATCACCAAGTGCAGTGGAGCATCTATGGGTTCCAAGAGACGAGACCATCCATCAAATTCAGGTAACAGGTCCCTTCTTAAGATAGTCCCTGGCTATCTCACCTCATATGTTTCATTAAACTGCAAGGGCAGTACACAGATTTGGGGTTCTTGTGATATCAGGCTGCTAGTACAAGAGTACTGTGAGCTTTTCCAGGAGCTAGAATACCAGGATCCATGCTGCTTGAATGTCTGGGACTCTGTTATCGTGACCCCCACAGAAGGGAATAGTCCTCTTCTCTGTCTTTAAGTACTGGGTAGTAGGACCTGAGGGATTTTGTTCCCACCAATAGTGCCATTGTCTCTGGTCTCTGGATCTTGGTATCTTGTTTAACTCTAGTGTCCTGCCATGTTAGCTCAGCTCAAGATGCAACTCTGCCCTACCACTTCAGGCCATGTACACGTATTTTAAAGGCTTGGTTTAGAAAACCCACTTCCATTTATATGTATCAAGTACTTTAGAAATAATGGGAAAATATTAAAATATGTAAATAATGAAGTTATACTGTTCATGTGCATTCTGAAAATGAAACAAATATAATCTTATCACTCAAGAAAACGTTATGTATAACTGAGAACATTTTATGCACTTCAAAAGTAAGATTCAAAAATTAAATTTTACCTGAAGTTATTTATATCATACATTCTGCATGCTCCTTGCTCTCCACATTTCAGAGTGCCCCAATATAAACAGGTCGTGTCTATCAAGGCACCAAAGTAAATAGGTGCCGGAATGCCAGCTGCAATGAATACAGAGACACAGAAAAGCAACCAATTGACAGGATAAAAGAAAAAGAGAGAGATGTGTTATTTTCTTTGGAAGTACTTCAATTGCCCTAAGAACAAAATCAACATGGAAATTATGAATCAAACTCTCTACACTTACTTTTATGAAATATTAGTTAGTGTAAAGTTTCTATATCTCAAAAAATTAAAATTATGAATAAGATGCTAAAAAAGTATTCATTGAATTCATAATTGTGAACCTTGTGTGTTTTCTGAAATGTCTTTTGCTGTTTTTCTATACATCTAACTAACAAAACCATTTCTTTCTCCTATTATTCTTGAATCTACCGAAAGATCAAAGGTGTAATTAAATTCAGATAAGCTATATCTGGGGATAATGTTAACCAAAGAAATGAAAGACCTGTATATCAAGAACTTTGAGTCTCTAAAGAAAGAAATCAAAGAGGATACCAGAAAATGGAAAGATCTCCTATGCTTTTGGATTGGTAGGATCAACATAATAAAAAATGGCAATCTTGCCAAAAGCAGTCAACAGATTCTATGCAATCCCTATCAAAATTCTGGCACAATTCTTCACAGACCTTGAAAGAACAATAATAAACTTTATATGAAAAAACAAAAGACCCAGGATAGCCAAAACAACCCTACACAATAAAGGAACTTTAGGAGAAGGCATCACAATACCTGACTTTAAGCTCTATTATAAAGCTATAGTCCTGATAACAGCTTGGCATTGGCACAGAAATACACAGGTAGACCAATGGAACCGAATTGAAAACCTTGATTTTAACCCACACACCTATGAGCACATAATATTTTGCAAAGAAGCTAAAATTATACAATGGAAAAAAGAAAGCATCTTCAACAAATGGCATAACTGGATATTGGCATGCAAAAGACTGTAGATAGATCCATGTCTATCACATTAAGTCCAAATGGATCAAAGACCTCAACATAAATCCAGCCACACTGAACCTCCTAGAAGAGGAAGTGGGAGGTACTCTTGAACAAATTTGTACAGGAGACAGCTTCCTGAACATAACACCAGTAGCACAGACACTGAGATCGACAATTAACAAATGGGACCTCCTGAAATTAAGAAGCTTTTGTAATGCAAATGACACAGTCAACAAGACAAAAAGGCAGCCCACAGAATGGGAAAAGATATTCACTAACGCCACATCTGACAGAGGGTTGATCTCCAAAATTTACAAAGAACTCAAGAAACAAGTCTCCAAAGCACCAAAAGATCCAATTAAAAAGTGGGGTACAGAACTAAATAGAGAATTCTCAATAGGGCAGTCTAAAATGGCTGAGAGACACTTGAGAAAGTGTTCAACATCCTTAGCCATCAGGGAAATGCAAATCAATACAACTCTGAGATACCATCTTACTCCTGTCAGAATGGCTAAAATCAAAAACACCCAAGACAATTTATGCTGGAGAGGATGTGGAGAGAGGGGAACACTCCTCCACTGCTGGTGGGAATGCCAACTGTACACCCACTTTTGAAATCAATATGGAGACTCCTCAGGAAAATGGGAATCAATCTACACAAGACCCAGCAATTCCACTCTTAGGCATATATCCAAAAGATGCAAATTCATACAACAAGGACATCTGCTCCACTATGTTCATAGCAGCATTATTTGTAATAGCCAGACCTGGAAACAACTTAGATGGCCCACAACTAAAGAGTGGATAGAGAAAATGTGGTACATTTACACAATGGAAAAAAAGATGGAATCTTGAAATTTGCAGGCAAAGGGATGGAACTAGAAGAAACCATCCTGAGTGAGGTAACCCAGTCACAAAAACACAAACATGGTATGTACTCATTCATATATGGATTTTAGATATGGATCAGGACAGTGCCAGTCTGCCCTTCCACTGACAGAGAGTCTGGGAAACAGGAAAGAACCTAAGAGAGATATTCATGGTATCCCAGAGAAGAGGAATGAGGTAAGATCTTCTGAACAGATTGGGAACACGGTGAGGGTTGGGGGGGAGTGGGAGCTGGGAAGAAGAGAGGGGGAGAAGAGGTACAGGATGTTGAGTGGGGGGGTAGAATAGGAGGAGAACAGGATGAGAAATACCATAAAAGAGGAAGTCATAGGTTAGAAGACAGATCTGGCACCAGTGAGACCTCTAGTGATCTAAAGGGATGACACCAGCTGGCAAGCTAAGCAATAGTGGAGAGACCACCTTAAATGCCCATTCCTGATAATAAACTTGACGTCTACACTATATGCCATCCTAGAACCTTCATCCAGTGACTGATGGAAGCAGAGGCAACCACCCACAGTTAAACACTGAACTGAACCCATGGAACCCAGTGACACAGAGAGAGGAGCTACGAGCAAATTGGCAAAGAATGGGCTGTCAAAACCAGCAGAGACAGCTGATCTGAACAAGGGGGGAGCTCTTGGGTCTCAGAACCACAGCTGGGAGACCAGCATGGGACTGATCCAGATCCCCTGAGTGTGAGAGTCTGTGAGGACGCCTGGGCAACCCATGGGGCCCTGGGCAGTAGATCAATGTTTATCCCTGGCCTACAAATGGACTTTGTGTTTCCATAACACAGAGTGGGATGCTCGCTCAGCCTGGACTCTTAGGGGAGTGCCTGGACCCTGCCCTGAGTGAAATGACAGACTCTGGATATCCCCTATGTGGAAGGAAGTGGGGATAGTGTGGGAGGCTGGGGGTGATGGTGGGGGAGCAGTGCAGGAGGAGGGGAGGGAGAGGGAACTGGGATTGACATGTTAAGCAGGCTATTTAAAATTAAAGTAAAAATAAAAAAGGAAATTGACAAATTAAGAGAAAAAAAGACAAAGTAAAACATTTTTAATCTCTGCTGTTAAGTCATTCTCAGACTAATTACAAGTAGCCATTTTCAAACACAAGGGCTTGTGAACTTAAATTCAATTGTAATTCAGGGTAATGTGGGCAAACCACATTTGTTTTAAAGATGTTGGAACTTCCTGAATGTGGAGGGTTGGGATAGTGCAAATCCAGAGACAAATATTTTACCTTTCATATTGATCATACATTGCCCTATGTCTGAAATTATATGTATGAATTTGTCACATGAAGACCTTGCAGGATGTATTGATTTAACAAGTCACTATCTCTCACCTACCCAAACACTAAGAATGCCTTTAACATCTAAACCTACAGGAGAGAATTCACTGCTTTGATGTAACCAACCCACCTGATGTTTCCAGGGATATAATTGAGAAGTGCCTTATCCATGACTTCCATTGTTCTCCAACTATAAACATCACTAACTATCACCATGATGTAACCAGATATTTGGATGACATAAATCTGTGTGTTCTCATCAAGGTGACTCATGTTTGAATTCAGATTAAACCCTCTTATTCCCTTTAAGGTAAGAGTTGTGTTTTAAGATAACAATATAATTGCCATCTTTTATCTACAAAAAAATAATTGGTTTACTAAGCACTTGGTATTAATTTGATATGTTGGAAAATTGTTCATACCAAATACTCTCATGAAAAATGCATGTAATCCGACTCCAAGAGATTTCTCTTCAGACTTGATACACCTGAAAAGTACAAACACTTATAAATAAAGCTCATCGTGAAAACCCATGTCTTCCTAGCCTCCTGCCAATGACAGTCGCAGTTCTTGATCCTAATGGTTAAGCTTTTCATGCTGAAGTGAGGATAATTCAGCTGTACCTCTGTTAAGCCCACACAGAGGAAAGAGTAATGACTTCTGAAAGCTGTATTGTGACATCCACCCATCTGATTCATAGTGGAACCCTTTAATGGTTAGACATTGGCTGCTAACCTAGATGAAAAGTTTCCTGGTTACCAAGGTGCCATAATGCTGTACCCAAAATAATGGACCAAACCATTTGAAAGCATAACCAAATAAATCTTTCTTCTCAAGTTGTTTCTGAGGCATATTGTCACATTGTTTAAAAAATCTAACACATGTAATATGAAAATCTAAGATATAATGAGGCAATCCCACAGATAAACAAAGACTCCATTGTGTAGGCTATGACATTAAGATAAGGCCTTTATTATATGGAGTTAACACCTTTAGAGGTTTGTCTTTCCTGTAGTGCCTAAAAATTAGATGAGATGATCTTGAGAATTACATACAATGGGGAATCTTATAAATCTGTCTGGATAAAATCTGAAAATAGTCTTATAGATTAGAAATGTTGAATTCCTTTTGAAATGTGGTCTTTCCTCACCAATTATACTCCTAGGTAAGAAAAGCATAACAAATGCAACTGCTGAGATTTCATTTTGGGAGTGATTCCGTGAAACAGTTTTAGAAAACACAACAGACTAGAAGAGTAATAATAGTGTGCAAACAGTAGCACTGTATCATCCATCATTCACATTTAAATCATCAAATTCAGTAAAAAAAGAACAAAGAAATATGAAAAACTTAATTTGAATAGACCTTAATCCTATTACATCAAGAAATAAAACATTGGGACATACAAGATGGCTCAGTGGATAAAATGCCCACTGAGTTCAATTCCTGAAACCCACATGGCTGCAAGAGAACCAACTTCTGCAAGATGTCTTCTCATTACAGCCTACATGCCATGGCATGCAAACACACACACACACACACACACACACACACACAAACACAAACACACAAATACACACACATGGAGAGAGAATAATGTTTTATTAAAATCACACATTAAAACATCAACAAGCCACACTTTTTACACCCAGTTGAAGAGTCAACTTTAAAAAATATGATAGTTGAGAAAGTGAGTACGACATGGAAGTAGAAACAGGCATGCAATTGATGAGGAGAGGTCCTTCTGTGTTTATGTTTCTCTTATTGGTTAATGAATAAAACACTGATTGACTGATTGGCAAGGCAGAAAGTGACACAGATGGGCAGAATCAGAATATAAGCAGGGGCACACAGTAAATCACTCTTCATTTCTCTGCAGATACGCTGAGTCAGACACCATGTAGGACGAGAGAGGAGTAACATGTCCCTGGACCCTTTCTCCAGGAAGAGAAGACCAGATGGAAATACTTGTATTATTAATAATAGGTTAATAATTTAGACAGAGCTACCCAATTAGAAGACATAGCCAGTGGCCAACAGTTTCATAATTAATATAGCGTCTGTGTGATCATTTGGGGCTGAAGTGGCAGCCTTTAATCCCAGAACACGGGCAGTTAGATTTCTGTGATTTCAAGGCTAGCCTGGTCTACAGAGTGAGTTCCTGGACAACTAAAGACACACAGAAAAACATTCCATAAAAAACAAAAACAAAAACAAAGTAAAAGAAATGGGTAATTTAAAAAAGCCACATAAAGATGAAAAATACACATAGAGTCTGGATACTGTACACTATTGTGTTGTCTTTGAATTGTTTCATTGCTGAGGAAGGAGCAACAGCTGCTAAAAGACATTTAATTAAAAATGCTGCTATACGGGCCTAGACCCTCCCCCATATGTCTAGGCTGAGAGAGTATTCTTCTATGTAGAATGGCCTCCCAAAGTCCATTTGCATACTAGAGATAAATATTAATCCATTTCTAGAGGCCCCATAGACTGCCCAGGCCTTTTAACTGACACCCACGATCAGGGGGGCTGGTTCAGTCCTATACTGGTTCCCCAGCTATGAGTCTGGCGTCCATGAGCTCCCCCTTGTTCAGGTCAGCTGTTTCTGTGGGTCTCTCCAGCCTGGTCTTGACCCCTTTGCTCATCACTCTTCCCTCCCTGCAACTGGATTTTAGAAGTTCAGCCCAGTGTTCAGCTGTGGGTGCCTGCTTCTGCGAGAAGCAAGTGATCTTAACTGTTGAGCCGTCCTTCAACCTCATGTACTTTTTCTTATTGTACGTTTTAGATACATATATCTATATGATGATAAAAATAAATGCTGCTGTATTATTCCAACCTATATAATTTGAAAATTCCTTGACTTCAAAATTTAAGTCTGAGGACATCTTACTTTGGAAAAGAGTTTCTGCTTTTGTTTCCACATAATTGAAAAGATGTGTATTTCTTCTACACTCAGATGGTTTGATTAAGCAAGACCCCCTGAAATAGTGGCTCAGGTGATGTAACATCCAAGAGAGATGGAACTATATAGCCTTGAAGACTACTAAACCCAGGAGTTGGACACGATTCTGAATTTTCTCAGGATCCACTTGGGATTAATAGCGTACCACAAAGCAGGAAGCAGTTTGGAAAGAACTATTCCCACATTCCCAAATATGATTTATAAATGTTTGTTTTAATTTATACAAGATTGACAATAAATGGTTAATGATCACAGACTCCTTCTAAAGAAAAAAAGGAGGACTATGATATAGAAATGAATACTTTTAATTGGTATGGATTTTAGTTTATTGTCACAAATCTAAGTTCAATTTTGTTATAGGTGTATCTATACTCTTGTTTAGATATTGTGTTTAGTAGATCTTTTAAATACAGATTATAGTCACCTGTAATAGTCAAAACTTATGTTAGTTAGATGTTTTAGATATGCAAAGATAATATTGCAAATGGATAGGTAGTCTTTAAATCCTTTCAAAGACCTATATAATATGGCATTTAAAATGGTTTATTAAGGTTTTTATGCAGGACAACGAGAGACAACTGCTCCTGACAACACGAATTATGTCAGAAAGGAAGATGTGCATGGAAGAAACTCATTATGGAGTTTGCCTTCAACACGGCAGGAAGAGCCATTTGGACAAGGAACTGCTCTTACCCAGATTGCTTGACAGCATGTACATTGTCTAAACTGGACAGGCAGGTTACAAAAAGGTGACTGCTGAACTTGCCCAGGGGGCAGGATGGTCCTTCAAACAGTCTGCCAGATATTTTCTGCCTATAGGTTGAAGATGGATGGCCCAATGTTACAGAGGAGCTTTTGGTGACTGTCCAGGCAATGAGATGTCTCTTTCAATTCTAGAGTTTGTATACTATCCTTCTGGGATCATTAATGGAGTTGAAGACAGACAGTTGTAGTTATGGTTTTCCTTAGTTGTGAGAAAAGATAAGTTACAGATAAAACGTTAGACTCACAAAGATAGGATAGATTATAGGATATTTTCTTTAAATTTTGCCAAGTGTTAATGGACTAAATATTCTTAACTATAGTTCTTGCTTGATAACTGTTTTTTAATATATAATTTTACTATATTAAAGTTAAAACCTTTCTTTTTGTTTAGACAGAAAAGAGGGGATGATGGGAATATCCTTTTGTGTGCTATGAATATGTTTCTCATATTGGTTGATAAATAAAGGCAGGGATCCCAGACTAGGAGAATACTGGGAAGAGGAAGGCAGAGAGGACCTGTCAGAAAGATGCCATGTAGCTACCAAGAGAGCAAGAGGACAGGGTATTATTGGTAAGCAAAGACAAAGTGGAGATACATATATTAATAGAAATGGGTTAATAATTAATAGAGTGCTAGCCAAATAAGAAGCCTGAGCCATCAGTGAGTTTATAATTAATATAACCTTGAGTGTGTTTATTTGGATGAATGGGCTGCAGGACCAGCTGGGGCAGAAACTGCTGTCTATAAAATATCTCCTGAGAATGTGTTAGCAGGTTCCAACAGGATAGTTCAGCTCATATAAACTTTGCTTATGATCATCCTCCTGTATAAGGAAAACTCATCCTTATAGACTGAGCATTCTGCTTGGGAACAGAGGTACCTGGAGTACTGGGGGAGAAAGGAGGCACCATGTAGCCACATAAGCTAAAGCAGCCTGAAACGTGATGGGGAGACAGATGTTATAGCCAAATCTCCCAAACTTGCAAGAATAAGTCTTAAGAACCAGCAATAATTGGTGCCTTTATCTCTCTGTGAGCCTGTGAACAAAAAAGGGAGTATACCACATCTCCACTTGTGTGAATATAAATGTAACTTATTACCATAGAAAGTGAGTATACATACATATATATACATATATATATATATGTATGAACATATATCTAGCCTGTTCCAGTGAGTGTCCATGATGGGTAGAATTAGAGGAAAGGAAGAATCCAGGAAGAGGAATGGGAGGGTAGGGGAGAGAGGGGAGTGGAGAGGAAGAGAGGAAATGGGAGAAGAGACAAGAGAAGTGTCATGAGAGAAGAGGACAGAAATGAAGGAGAAGGAAAGTAGAAAGGGATTTGAAGAAGGAAAATAAGGAGAAGGGTTGTGGAAAGGGAATGTGGGCAAGGAAACAAAAGTCCAGTTGCCCTTCAGGGAGAAATGGGAACTTATATACAGTCTATCAGGATAAAATGCTATGAGGTACCATCACAGTTAACTCAACTTTACTTCTGAATTCCAATGAGACAAGAAAAGTAGGGTTGAACTGTCTCCCCATTGTTAGTAGGTATGAAGTTTGCTAGGAAGGACATTTGGAAGAGAATTTCTTAGGAAAAGGAATTTTAATAAGTGACTGAAGGTCTAAATGACATTGGTGGAGGTGCTCTTCATGTAAATGTACTTCCAACAAAGGCTAGATGACCCAACTATAATCCCCAGAACCCAGGAACATATGTTTAAAACCATAAAAATTGGAAATTTGGTGGCATGCATCTGTAATCCCAGTATTCCTCTGATCAGATAGGAGAAGCAAACAGAATTGTGTGGTAACTTGAGGATCAGGTGGGCTGGAGTACATAGCCAGGGAGCAGCAGAAATAAGAAAGACCCTGCCTCAAAATTGAGATAAATGGAGAGAATTGATCCCCCACCATTGTCTTCTGACCTCCCTGTGCTCTTCGTAACACCCAGTAGCCAACTACACACACACACACACATACACACACACACCATATACACACAGCATACACTCACATATGCACACACTACTAACAGAGAAAGAGAAAAGATAAAAGAGTTACTTATTACCTCAGAAGAACCATATACCCAGGTATGGCTGCTAATGAGAAGATGAAACTGGTAATCATTGTCATGATGAAATAGTACTGCAGCTTGACAGTACAGCCAGGACCTTTGTTACACAGCCCAAGGACTGCAGATGAGTTTCCTGAAGGCCGAATGCAGGTGCAGTTTTGAAACACCTGTGAAAAAATAAGAATGTACTATTTACAGAAAAAAATATTGGGCAAAAACTTTCAGTATTTTCTGCACAGCTTTAAAAAATGGAGAGTGTTGGAGCCAAAGATATGACCCAAAAAGGATGAACATTCATCTAGCAAGAATGAGATGGAGCGCAAATACCATTAAATAAATAGTAAGTACTAAGTGAGAAAAATGGAGTAAACTACCACCCCCCTTTTTTCATCTCTGTTTTGGTATCTTAGAATTCTATCATAGAATATAAAATGGGATATTTTAAAAAACCGGTATTTTTTCTAAACACATGATGTTAATTTGCAAAAATTTAATTCACCTGAATAGACACTTAATATTTTTTGGATTTATTTGCTTGTTTTTTTCCTTGTATGTGTACGTGTGTGCATATGTGTGTGCATGACTGTGCACCTGTGCATCTTGGGTAGACATGCATATGATATGATATCCATGTAGAAGTCAGGGGATAAATTATGGGAGTTAGACATCATCTGTCATGTGGGTCCCCAGGATGTAGTTATGGTGGTAATGTCTGGTGACAAATGACTTTACCCACTGAGCCAACACTCTACTCTGTGCATAATTTTTTAAAAAGTAAATAAACGCTGCTTGTTTTGTGTTGCCTAGTACTAAGTACTCAAACAAAATGTGCTTCAGAATGCTGATGGAATAGTTTGGTGCTTCCTAATAAACAAAGTCATGTCCCCAAGAAAAAGTTTATTTCATCAGTAAAGTCAATAATTTTAATCGCTATTTTTATGGATTTGATTATGAATAAAAATGTATATTTAATTTTGATTATCAAGCATCCTTAAGTATTTCTTGTTTGAGAAAAGAAAAAAGTGCATAACTTTTCATGTATTAGACTATGCTGATGTAGGGCTGTGCAGACAACACAGTCTGAAAAGTCCCGTGCAAGCATGAGGACCTGAGTTCAGATCCCCAGGACACATGTGAAAAATGTATATGTAGGGATGTGCTTGCAGCAGTGTGGCTCTGTAGGTGGGAACAGGTGACTCCCTGGGGCTCACTTGTCAGGCAGCCTAAATGAATGCTCAAATCACAGGCCGGTGAGATCCTGTGTCAAAACCACGACGTAGAGAGAACCCGAAGGTCAACAGCTAAGGTTGTCTTCTGGCTTACACATGCATATGCATATGCATACAGACTTACACACACACACACACACGCACTAAATGAATAAAAGAAATGCTTCTATTCCTCTGTGTGTTCAAACACATGTATGTGGGTGCCTGAGGAAGGCCAAAGATAGTGTCAGATGGCCTGGAGCTGGAGTTGGGAGTTGCCCCATGTGGGTGCTGTGAACCAAACAGGTTCACTGAAAGACCAGGATGTGCTCTTAGCCGCTAAGGTAGCTCTCCAGCTCATCCTGAAATGTTTAACTCCATTCATTTGCATAGTAATCTCAACTGCTTTGAAATTACAAAAAAAACATTCTCAGACCCTGTCAAGGTCTTACATAACTGTAGTGATACATTATTTATGATTTATTAAAGCTTGTCTGAGGATTTAGAAAGCAACGTCAGCCACAAGACATTGAAGCTAGACACACACTTTGAATCCCAGCAGCCAGAAGCTAGGAGGTAGTGGTACACACTTTTAATCCTAGGGCTCAGGATTTAAAGGTAGAGGGATCTCTCTGTGTTCAAGGTGTGTCTCCACGCCCCCCCAGATCTACACAGGAGTGAATCAGTCTAAAAGAGAATTATAGCTCACACCTGTAATCCCAACATTAGGGAAGCATGTAAGACAGAAGCAAGGTCTCAGAGAAGCACTCATTATTCAGCCACTCTGAGGGAAGTTACAGTCTGAGGCTTGGTGAGAGCTTACGGAGAAAGAATCAGACCATTCAGCCTGAGGTAAATGTAAGAAACTGGTAGTCAGTTGCTTTGCTTTTCTGATATTCAGCTTAAAGTTTGAACCCCAAAACCTGTCTGTAGGTCATTTATTTTTGTGTTACACGTAACAACTAAGTATGGTAAAGCCAATTATTCATATACAAAGTAAAGTGAGTGGTTCACAAAAAAATATATTATTTTAAGCACGGACTAATTTTTAGCAGATATAAACTTAGATCTACATATTAATTCAGTACAAAAACATCAGCATAGAACAATGAAAAGATGTTTACCATGTTGATTCCTGTTCCAACAGACTTCTCACAGCCTGCATGGCAGGCTGACATGTATGCTAGGCCACTGTCTCCACACACTGGATCCCACGTTTTAGTTAAGCAGTTACACCTTGTGTTGCAGTCATCAAGGACCTTATTCTCCACATATAATGGCTGCTGAATTCTGAAATAGTTTAAAATAAAATTAGGGATAATGAAGAACCACCCAAACTCTATTTTCCTCTCTGCATCTCAGCCTCTGTGTAAGCAGATATAGAAAAGAAAATTCAGGGTGAATTAGTGACTTTTCAGAAAATGACTTCAACAATACCAAAACAGAACTATGCACACTGACTCCATCTCTGGTCCTGCTGACTCCACACTGTATTTGAGTGACAGGATTTGATTTCATGCTCTAGGCTCCCACAGGATACTCTTATAATCCCATTAGAAATGTTGGTCAATTTCTATCTGAGAAGAGCATGCCTGGTTTCTCAAACCACTCTGTTTTGAAGGCTAAATGGATCATGTCTTATAAATGTAAATTGCAGAACTTGTTCAAGCCTACCCTCTTTCATTGTTTCCCATCATCATGTGGATCAATGATATTACCATCTTCATTTTTAGCTCTGACACCACAGTTTTTTTCTATATGGTAGGCACTTAATTTTGGGAGAATAACTGAAAAAAAGCAATCATGTGACCACCAGAGCAGTTACTTGTGTGCCAAAATCAGAGTACAGAGATCACAAATTGATATGTGAATGATTTCTGGTTTTGTTCTGGGGGAGAAGCTGACTTATGTTTCATTCTTTCCCTCCCTCCCTCCCTCCCTCCCTCCCTTCTTTCCTGTGTCTTTCTCTCCCCTGTCCCTGCTTCTCTCTCTCTCTCTCTCTCTCCCTCCCTCCCTCCCTCCCTTCTTTCCTGTGTCTTTCTCTCCCCCGTCCCTGCTTCTCTCTCTCTCTCTCTCTCTCTCTCTCTGTCTCTCTCTCTCTCTCTCTGTCTCTCTCTCTCTCTCTCTGTCTCTCTGTCTCCCTCTCTCTCTCTCTCTCTCTGTGTGTGTATGAGAGAGAGAGAGAGAGAGAGAGAGAGAGAGCATACATGCAACAGCATGTATGTATGTGGTGGTCAAAAGATAAAATTTCAGCATTTTGGACAGAGTCCCCTGTTGTTCACTGGGCAAATGCCAAATTAGCAGGCCCCATGAATTTTCAGATTTTCCTGCCTGTGCCTCTCAGCTCAATAGGAGTTCTGGGATTACAGATGTACAATGTCAAGCTGTACATGGATTCTGGGGATCTAAGTTCAGGTTCTCCTGCCTGCTCAGCAAGCGCTTTATCACTGAGTCATCTCCCCAGAACTTTCAAAGGAACCTCCACGTATATGTTTTATTTCATTTTAACTGATTAGATGATTATATAAGTGTGCCCTAAACTAAGTTTTACATTTCCCATGCTAATACAGAACTTGACCAGGCAGCCCTTTAATTACAAAGTCTAAGACTACAGAGTGCATGAGATATAAATATACTGGTGACATATATAAATATATCCATTTATTTATTTACCATGTATTAGATTTAATAATGTTAAATTTGTGCCCAGTATAGAAGCATATGAAGGCTTGCTGAACTGTATATACAACTTCTAAAGCTATCTGGTGTTAAACAGTCAACTTCTAAAGCTATCTGGAGTATAAAATACATGGATAACTTAGGCTACAAAGCTCTAGGTAATTTCTTTTATTAAACTTTAAAGAAGATGAAGATATTATTATAGTGACCAACCATATGTACATAGAATCATAAATTTACTTATTGGCATTCCCCAGGCCTTCTCAATAGGCTCACAACTTGTGTGGACTGGTATAGGATTGATGGGTAGAAGAAAAATACAAAATAACAATGGATGACTGTCATTATATTGTAATAAAATGATCTGGTCATATACAATACTTGAAGAAAATGGTCTAGCAATTGTGAGATCATTATCATCTTCCTTAGGAAGTAACATACCGTTCATGTTGATAGGATGCAGTTAAGCCAGCAACTGGGAAATTATCACAGGTCAACATAAAGTTAAAGAAAGATAGAAGATACTCAGTCAGGGACAGGCAGAACGCTATGTATGCAGCTTTCTTGACAGTAATCTTGAACTTCTTCATAATCAAGCCACTAACTAAATATCCAATGCATACTGGAGTGAAGTTATAAGCACCTATAAATGTAAATAAAATGGTATTTATAAAAGATACCAGAATAATCAATGTTATAAATTTTAATGCATCTTAAGGAATTACTTAGCTACAATATACAGTGATCCTAACCACTACTCACTCACATGTTACAAATGCCCCATGATATCACTATAAAATTACAAGTGGAATTTACGTAATTATTTGAAGCAAGTTATAAACACCATATAGCCATTACACACACACACACACACACACACACACACACACACACACACACAGAGAGAGAGAGAGAGAGAGAGAGGGAGAGAGAGAGAGAGAGAGAGAGAGAGAGAGAGACCTCATGCACTTCTTTCCACTCTGTTCAATGGGAATTTGACTCAGCTCCAGGTAATTTGAAAGTCATTGCTGAGTCCATGCTTATCAACTGTAGTACATTTTGTGCAATTTTTATGTTGCCCATAAAATTTCTTATTGAATCTTCTTCTCCTATCCCTCCCAAAAAAACAAAGGACAAAGAAGAGTAGGGAAGAGAAAATCCTGTCCAGGTTCTACTCATACAGCACCAGCCCCAGACATGGAAGAATTTATGCATCCTTTTCAACACCATTCCATCGCGTTTCATTTTATACATCTGGGGGTAGGGAAAGTGAGGTGGACTTTCAGAGAACTCTAGATAAGGTGGATGCTGGTATCCTCTGATTGTCAGTTTTCAAGTGTAAATATGTTCTGGAACAATCCTTCTATACACTATGAATATATATTACTCTCATTGGTTTAATAAAGAAGATGATGGGCCAATAGCTGAACAGGATAGAGCTAGGTGGGAGAGCCAAACTGAGAATGGCAGCATAAGAGGAGTCATGAGCAGATACTGTGGGGACAGGAGATGCAGGAGCCATGCTAATAAACGTACCGCTATATGGCAGAGTGCAAATAAGGAATATGGGCTAAGTTAAAATGTGGGAGCTACTTGGTAATAAAACAGAGCTTTCAAGTGAGAATCTATAATTAATGTCAGTCTCAGCGTATTTATTCAGGAGCTGCAAGAACACGAAAAGGGCGTCAGAGCAGCTTCTTGATAACGCTGTGCCCTCCAGTTAGCCCTGTTCGCTGGTGGTGAGCAGAGGTGTTGCTCTTTTCAGAGAAGGTTTCCCGACATGGAAAAATGAGACTGCTCTTTTGAGAGGCCCTGCTATCAAAGACTTAAAACGTGTTTAAGAATGGCAGGGAATGGGGGGGGGGACTTCAATACCATGCTCTCACCACTGGAAAGGACAACCAGAAAGAAACTAACAAAGAGACAAAGGAACTAACAAAAGTTATGGCCCAATGAGGATTAAGAGATATCTACAGAACATTCCATCCAAACACAAAAGAATATACTTTCTTCTCAGATACATGGAACGTTCTATAAAATTAACCACATACTTGGCAACACAGAAAACCTCAACAGGTACAAAAAAATTGGAATAAATCCATGCACCTCATCAGACCACCATGCTTTAAAGTTAGAATTCAATAACAATACAAATTTCAGAAAATCTACAAATTGAAAAACACACAATTGAACCATTAATGGGTCAGGGAAGAAATAAAAAAGGAAATTAAAGGCTTCTCAGAATTCAATGAAAATGTAGACACCACATACTCAAATTCTTGGGACACTTTGAAAGCAGTACTAAAAAGAAAGTTAATAGAGTTAAGTACTCATATGAAGAAACTGGAGAATACTCACATTAGCACAACTGAAACCTTTAGAACAAATAGAAGCAAACTCACCTGGGAGGAGTAGATGCCATGAAATAATCAAACTAAGGACAGAAATCAATAAAATTGAAACAAAGTAAACAATACCAAGAATCAATGAAACAAACATTTGGTTCTTCCAGAAAATCAGCAAGATAGGCAAACCTTTATCCAAACTAACCAAAAGCAGAGAGAGGACATACAAATTAACAAAATCAGAAAGGAAAAGGAGGACATAACAATGGACACTGAGGAAATTCAGAGAATCATCAGGTCATATCTTGAAAACAGTACTCCACAAAATTCAAAAATTTAAAGGAAATGGAAAAATTTTTGGCTAGATATCAACTAGATAGAGATCGGGATAACAGGAACATATCTAAACATCATAAAAGCTATATACAGCAAACCAAGAGCCAACATCAAACTGAATGGAGAGAAACTCAAGGAAATTCCTCTAAGATCAGGAACAAGGCAAGGCTGTCCCCTCTCCCCATATCTCTTTAATATTGTACTGGAAGTTCTAGCTAGAGCAATAAGACAACAAAAGGAGATCAAGGGGATACAAATTGGAAAGGGAGAGGTAAAACTTTCACCATTTACAGATGATATGATAGTTTACATAAGTGACCCAAAAACTCTGGCAGGGAACTCTTGCTGCTGATAAACACCTTCAGCAAAGTGGCAGGATACGAGATCAACTCATGAAAATCAGTAGCCCTACTATATACAGACGATAAAATGGCTGAGAAAGAAATCAGAGAAAAGTCACCCTTCACAGTTGTCACAAACAACATAAAATACCTAGGGGTAAAGCTAACCAAGCAAGTGAAAGACATGTATCGTAGGAACTTTGAGTCTTTAAAGAAAGAAATTAAAGAAGACACCAAAAAATGGAAAGATCTCCCATGCTCTTGGATAGGTAAGATCAATGTAGTAAAAATGGCAATCCTGCTAAGAGCAATTTACAGACTCAATGCAATCCCCACCAAAATCCAGCACAATTTTTCACAGACCTTGAAAGAACAATAATCAACTTTATATGCAAAAACAAAAAACCCAGGACAGCCAAGACAACACTGCTCAACAAAGCAATGTCTAGAGGCATCACCATCCTTCCTGACTTCAAGCTCTATTATAGAGCTATAGTCCTGAAAACAGCTTGGTATTGGCACAAAAATAGACAGGTAGACCAATGGAATCAAATTGAAAACCCTGAGATTAATCCACAAACCTATGAACAGCTGATTTTCGACAAAGAAGCTAAAATTATACAATGGCAAAAAGATAGCATCTTCAACAAATTGTGCTGGCATAACTGGATATTGGCATGTAGAAGACTGCAGATATATCCAAGTCTACCACCATGCACAAAACTTAAGTCTAAATGGATCAAAGACCTCAACATAAATCCAGCCACACTGAACCTCTTAAAAGAGAAAGTGGGAGGTACTCTTGAACGAATTTATACAGGATACTGCTTCCTAAACATAACAACAGTAGCACAAACACTGAGATCGACAATTAATAAATGGGACCTCCTGAAACTTAGAAGCTTCTGTAAGGCAAAGGACACAGTCAGCAAGACAAAAAGTCACCCCACAGATTGGGAAAAGATATTCACTAACCCCACATCTGACAGAGGACTGATCTCCAAATTTTATAAAGAATGCAAGAAGCAAGTCTCCAAAACACCAAAGGATCCAATTAAAAAGTAGGGGACTGAACTAAATAGAGAATTCTCAATAGAAGAGTATAAAATGGCTGAGAGACACTTGAGAAGGTGCTCAACATCACTAGCCATTAGCAAATAAAAACAACTCTGAGATATCATCTTACTCCTGTCAGAATGGTGAAAATCAAAAACACCAATGACAGTTTGTGCTGGAGAGGATGTGGAGAAAGGGGAACACTCCTTCACTGCTGGTGGGAGTGCCAACTAGCACAGTTACTATGGAAATTCCTCAGGAAAATGGGTCTGAGTCTACCACAAGACTCAGCAATTCCACTCTTAGACATATACCCAAAAGATGCCCATTCACACAACAAGGATGTCTGTTCCTTTCATAGCAGCATTATATGTAATAGCTAGATCCTGGAAGCAACCTAGATGCCCCACACCTGAAGAGTGGATAGAGAAAATGTGGTACATTTACACAATGGAGTACTTGAAATTTGCAGGCAAATGGATGACACTAGAGGAAACCATCCTGAGTGGGGTAGCCCAGACACAAAGAGACAAACATGATATGTACTCACTCATATATGGATTTTAGACATGGATCAGGGGAGTGTCAGCCTACAATCCCAGTGTCAGTGAGTCTGGGAAACATGGAGATTCCCAAGAGAGATGCATGATACCCCAGAGAAGTGGAATGAGGCAAGATCTTCTGAGCAGATTGTGAACATGGGGAGAGGGGAGAGAGAACCAAGAAAAAGAGAGTGGGATAAGAGGAGGGGAGAAGAAGGCATGGGGGAGCAGGAAGGTTGAATCGAGGTAAGAATAGAGGAGAGCAGGATGGCAGTTATCATAATAGATCCAGTCACTATAGGCTTGAGGAGAGAGCTGACACTAGTGAGATCTCCAAAGATCTACATGGATAACACCAACTGGCAAACTAAACAACAGTGGAGAGACTACACTAATAGACCCTCCTTGATGATAAGGTTGATGACTACCTTATATGCCATCCTAGAACCTTCATCCAGGGACTGATGTAAGCAGAGACAGATACCCACAGCTAAACACTGAACTGCACTCCTGGAACCTAGTGACAGAGATGAAGGAGTGATGAGCAAAGGGGTCAAGACCATGATGATGAAACTGACAAAGACAGCTGACCGGATAAGGGGGAGATCTTGAATCCCAGACTGATGGCCGAGAGGCAAATGGGGGACTGATCCAGACTCCATGAATGTAGTGCCAGGGAGGAGGCCACAGAAATCACTGGGGCTTTGGGTAGTGTTTACCATGGTTTATGAATGAGCTTTGGGAGCCCATTCCAAATAGAGGGATGCTCTCTCAGCCTGGACATATAGGGAAAGGCCTAGGTCCTGCTCAGGATGAAATGATAGACTTTAGAGATCCCCCAAGGAGGGCCTCACCCTTCCTGGGGAATGATGTGGGGATTGAGTGGGGGGCTGGGAGGCTGGTGGAGGGATAAGGGAGGAGGGGTGTGAGAGGGAGCTGGGACTGACATGTGAAGCATTCATGTTTCTTATTTAAATAAAAACATATATTGAGAAAAATAATAAAAAATAAGTCAGATAAACATCACCCTTTACAATAGCCAAAAACAACATGACATATCTTGAGGTAATGCTAACCAAACAAATGAAGCACCTGTATAGAAATTTGAGTCTTTAATGAAAGAAATTAAAGAAGATACCAGAAAATGGAAATGCTCTTGGATAGATAAGATCAATGTGGTAAAAAAATGGCAATCCTGCCAAAAGCAATCTACAGATTCAATGCAATCCCCATCAAATCCTAGCACAGTTCTTCACAGATCTTGAAAGAACAATACTCAGCTTTATATGAAGAAACAAAAGACCCAGGATAGCCAAAACAATCCTGTACAATGAAGGAACTTTCAAAGGCATCACCATCCCTTAGTTGTAATCCTGAAAATAGCTTTGTATTGGCATAAAAATGGACAGGTAAACCAATGGAATCGAAATGAAAACACTGATATTAACCCATACATCCATGATCACCTGATCTTTGACAAAGAAGCTAAAATTATACAATGGAAAAAAGAAAGCATTTTCAACAAATGGTGCTGGCATAAATGGATGCTGGCATGTAGAAACTGCAAGTAGATCCATGTCTATCACCATGCACAAAACTTAAGTCCAAATGGATCAAAGACCTCAACATAAATCCTGTCACACTGAACCTATTAGAAGAGAAAGTGGGAAGTACCCTCGAATGAATTGGTACAGGAGACCTCTTCCTGAAAAACAACACCAGTATCACAGACACTGAGATTGACAATTAATAAATGGGACCTCCTAAAACTGAGAAACTTCTTTAAGGCAAATGACAGAGTCAACAAGACAAAACAGCAGCCCATAGAAAAGGAAATGATATTCACCAACCCCACATCTGACAGAGGACTGATTTCCAAATTATAAAAAGAACTCAAGAAGCTAGTCACCAAAACACCAAATAACTGAATTAAAAATTTGGGTGCAAGACTGTCAGTGGTGACACACACCTTTAATCCCAGCACTCTGGAGGCAGAGGCAGGTGGACCTTTGTGAATTCAAGGCCAGATTGGTCTACAAACCTACATAGAAAAACCTTCTCTTTAAAAAACAAAACAAAACAAAACAAAAAATTGGGATGCAGAACTAAATATAGAATTGTCAATAGAGGAATCTATAATGCCTGAAAGACACTTAAGAAAGTGCTCAATATCTGTAGCCATCAGGGAAATGCAAATCAAAACAACTCTGAGACACCATCTTGCTCCTTTCAGAATGGCAAAAATAAAAAACACCAATGACAGTTTATGCTGGAGAGGATGTGGAGAAAGGGGAACACTCATCCATTGCTGGAGGGAGTGTCACTTTGGAAATCAGTATGGTGGTTCCTCAGGAAAATGGGAATCAGTCTACCACAACATCCAGCAATTCCACTCTTAGGCATATACTCAAAAGATGCACATTCATACAACGAGAACATTTGTTCAACTATGTTCATGGCAGCATTGTTTGTAATAGCCAGAACATAGAAGCAACCTGATGCCCCTCAATTGAAGAGTGGATAGAGAAAATGTAGTACATTTACACAATGGAGTACTACTCAGTGGAAAAAAAGATGGAATTTTGAAATTTGCAGGCAAAGGGATGGAACTAGAAGAGTGAGGTAATCCAGTAACAAAAAGACAAACACATACTCATATATGGATTTTATGCATAGAGTACAGGATAACCAGCCTACTATCCATACTGCCAGAGAAGCTAGGAAATCATGAGGTCCTGAAGAGAGACATACATAGTCCCCCAGAGATGGGTAAAGCTACAAGATCTCCTGAGCTAATTGGGAGGATGGGGGTAGAGGAGAGGGAGTTTAGAGAAAGAAAATGGGAGAAGAGCAGGAGAGAGAAGGACATGAGGGTGCAGGAAGATTGAGTCAGGGGAAGAATAGAGGAGAGCACGGAAAGAGAAACCATAATAGAGAGAGTCATTATAGGTTTAAAGAGAAATCTGGCACTGGCAGAATGTTCACAGATCTACAAAGATGACCCCCAGATAACAATGCATGAAATAGTGGAGAGGCTGCCTTCACTGCCCTTACCCAGTAATGAGACTGATGACTACCTAATAGGCCATCCTAGAACCTTTATCCAGTAGCTGATGAAAGTAGAAGCAGACACTCACAGCTAAACACTGAGCTGACTCCTGGAATGCAGTTGCAGAGAGGGAGGAATGATAAGCAAAGGGGTCAAGACCAGGCTGTAGAAACCCACAGAAACAGGTGACCTGAACAAGGGGAAGCTCATGAACCTTAGACTGATTGTTGGGAACCCAGCATAGGACTAATCTAGACCTGTTAAATAAGCATGTCAGTTAGGAGGCCTGGGCGATCCATGGAGCCTCTCATAGTGGATCAGTATTTATTCGTAGTATATAAATGAAGTATGGGAGCCCAATCCACACAGAGGGATACTCTTTCATCCTAGACACACGGGAGAGGGTCTAGGCCCTTCTCCAAATGATGTGACAGATTTTGAAGATGTCCCGTGGAAGGCCTCATGCTCCCTGAAGAGCAGAAAGGGGATGGGATAGTGGGTTGATAGGGGGCAGGGGAGGAGCCAGGAGGGAGAGGAAACTTGGATTGACATGCAAAGCAAGCTTGTTTCTAATTTAAATTAATAAAAGGAAAAAATAAAATTAATGTTGGAAAAATATATATGTAGGCTTAAGAAAGAAAAGAGAATAGGTATAGAAAATAACAGAAAGAAATAAAAAGATTAAAATAGTAAACTACTTAAAGAGAGACGTAAAATAGTAAAACATAATGAGACAGGCAGAGATGGGAAATACACAGGGAGTCTGTATCCTGTATGTAATTGTGTTGATTTTGAATATTTTGAATGATGATGAGCAAAGGTCAGCTGCTAAGAGACATGGGACTGTGAGCAGAACTGCAAAGTTGAACCAACCTAGATATTTTAGGCCACCTTAACTTAAAAAATATAGTTGTCAAATGGAAATCAAAATTGTTTTGTAGAATAGTATTTGTATTTGTTCCCACAGGAGAAAAGAGGCAATTGATTTCTTCAGGAATGATATTGATCAGGTTTAATCAGGGGAGAAGTCCTGAATCTTTACAGGTGGTATATATCAACAAAGGTCACTGCCAGCCTTCCTGGGACTTGGTCATTACCTCAATATATCTCAGTATTTTAAGATTCATAGAAAAGTATATCAGACATTCTATGGGACACATAGTAAAAGGAGTGGTGAACTTTGCCAATGTAAGGCAAGACAGTCACTTGAGATTCCTGCTTCATGGAATAGTCTGTCAGACATTCAGCAGGATACATCATTGGAAAATGACCATTAAACTGTGACAATATGAGGTAGGATAGTCATTCAAATTTTCTGCATCTCTGAAAAGTCTGCCAGATTCTCTAGCCTGGTAGGCTGAGGATAAGTGCTCCAACGTTGAAGATGAACTTTGAATGACTGCCCAGACAGGTAGATAAACCTCTTATTAATTAACATTTCATACTTCTGGGGTCTTTGATGGAGTTGCATAATAAATAGTTATGATTATATATTTCCTTAGTTATGATGAATAGATAAATTTGGTGAGAAACTTCGGACTCACCAAGTTATGTAATAGAATATTTTCTCTAGTTTTGTCAAATACAAATGGACTGGATACTGCAATTACTGTAATTCCTAATAACCGTTTTTGTTTCATATACTCTTACTAGGTTAAATTAGAACCTTCCTTTTAAATTAGACAGAGAGGGGGAAATGCTGTGGAATAACAATTCTGTCCACTGTGAATATGTATTATGCTCACTGGTTTAATGAAGAAGCTGACTGACCAATAGCTGACAGGATAGAGTTAGATGGGAGAGGCAAGCTGAGATGAGGGGAAGGAGGGCAGAATTAGAGGAGCTGCCAGCAGATGATGAGGGAGCAGGAGATGAAGGTACCATGTTAATAAAGGTGCTATCATTTGGCAGATCATAAACAATAATAAGCCTGAACTAATGGCTGAGCATTTCCAATTAATAAGAGCCTCAGGGTGTTTATTTTGGAGATGTTGGAAGGAGAGAAACTTCTACCTACTTAAATGAACCCAGGAAAAATCCAAAGCTAGGTAGGATCCCTGGATTAGTGTACTCGTAGGAAAACCAGAGTGTGGCTACACAGAATCCTGAAACCACCAGGGGACCAAGCAACTGAATTAGTAATGTGGAAGGCAAGGATTGAAGCCCAGATATAAAATCAAGGAATTACATATTAATGCAGAATCCCAGTGAGTTAACTGTGTATTCCTTTATGAATTAACACATTGCCTATCTGAAAATCGATTGATATGAACATCCCCAAATATGTCCGTAATGGTGATGGTTTTCATTCTGATGGGAAAGAGAGAGCAAAGAGTGCATTTCTGGATTCTACCTTTCCCTATCCATTCTTGATTTCCCTGGTTCATAGAGAGAATAAATTTACAAATATGCTAACACACCTCAATGTCCTTGTAGTTTACTAGTCACGTTATCATATTTTTTAGCATGTCTTTGGTCATACTGTTTGTTGTGTCCTTGTGGGAGATGGAATTGCTATTAAAAAATAAAATAATAAAACTACATACCTATAAGAAAGATTATCTCTGCAGTTGATTTTCCATATTGCTGTTCCAGGTATTTTGGCAGGAAGGTAAGTAAAGGGACAAATGCATTCATCTGGATCACAGTTACTAGCAAGAAAAGCATGTAAACTGAATTGCAGGAGAGGCTTCTCATGAATGGTAAGAAATCTGAAACAAGAGTGTCAAGACCATCAAGAAAATGTTGCCATGCAGTTTGATTCCAGTGTTATAAAATCTCCTCAAAGATTCCGTGCTGTGACACAAATGCATTTGGTAAATATATAACACTTGGGGCTAACATTATAAATCCATTTAAAGGATCTTCTGGAAGTTAGTGACAGAATTAGCTGTATAAGAATTGGAACCCAACTGTGCAGTCAAGCAAAACTATAAGGAAATGGAGTCCTGTCTGTGGCCACCTCTTTCATTTCCATTCCTACTTTCCTCCTATTAACACCTTCACTCACTAGAGAGTGATTAGTCTATTAACACCCTAACTCACTAGAGAGTGACTATCTATTAACACCCTTCACTCACTAGAGAGTGACTAGTCTATTAACTCCCTAACTCACTAGAGAGTGACTAGTCTATTAACACCTTAACTCACTAGAGAGTGACTATTAACACCCTTCACTCACTAGAGAGTGACTAGTCTATTAACTCCCTAACTCACTAGAGAGTGACTAGTCTATTAACACCCTAACTCACTAGAGAGTGACTATCTATTAACACCCTTCACTCACTAGAGAGTGACTAGTCTATTAACTCCCTAACTCACTAGAGAGTAACTAGTCTATTAACACCCTTCAATCACTACAGAGTGACTAGTCTATTAAATCCCTAACTCACTACAGAGTGACTAGTCTATTAACACCCCTCACTCACTACAGAGTGACGAGTCTATTAACACCCCTCACTCACTACAGAGTGACTAGTCCATTAACACCCTCCCTCACTAGAGAGTGACTAGTCTGATCTCTGGAATCTGCAAAGGGACCGTCTTTGGTGAAGTGTTGGTTCAGATACTGATGTTGTCACTCTTGCGTGCATGAATGGATGAGCTGAAAACTTAGGAAGACTCCAGGAATCATGCTTCAGCTCATGGACTCTCAGCATCCCTCCCTGCAGCATTTCACAGCAGAACATGCATTTGAAGCACCTCGTGGTATTTTTAAACATCTCAACACAAGGATTTCATTGCAAGGAATGATGACTCATTTGGTGTATACCAAGCACCTTCCAACTGACTTAATCAGAACGTTTCCCTATTTTAAAAGCTGAGTGTCAAGGTTATAGTGCGGCACTAGCAAATGGATTATTATAAACATAATTTGACTGAACTTCACACTTAATAGCATCTTTCCTTTTCCCATCTTCATGTTTTCTATCTTGATTTTCTAACTTTATAGTATCCTTAATAAACTGCCTAAAATTTTTAGAGAGCAACGTATAGAGAAGAAACCATTTAGATGTATAGGAAGAACAGTGTAGTAAAAAGAGTGGAATTTAATCTTTATAGATGAGAGGATTATAGTCAGAATTACCAGGAGCTTTTGAACTCACCTATGTTAGGAAACAGCTGACATCCCTGTTTCCTAAATGAGTCTCCTCAGTTCACATTGATTTTCAATATGTCTTATATGATGCTAAGCTATTACCTAGTTTTGAAAATCACTTTGTCCTGGCAGATCACACAGTAACACATAACAGTCAGTATTAGCCCTTTCAGTAGAATCATTAACTTGACCATGATTCCAAGAATGTTCAAGCCTCTGAACTGTCTCCCCCAGTTATGGTCAGTAGTGTTTAAGGAAGATGTGAGATTATTCAGTGCAACATGGTGCTGGAGGTTGTGAGTGATGGAGGAAATAGAGACATCATCAATAAAGTGCTCCCCAGTGCAGTGTATGCAAGGACAGCACAGAAATCCAAAAATATAATGCACTGTTACCCTCAATTGACAGGTGATGAAATATAACCTTCCTATTCTCCAATTATATATTTGAAGAATTCAAGACGCCAAGGTGCAAAATGTTTGCAGTAGCTCAGATCTCTTGAGAATACTGCAGAGGTCACCATACATACAACTGTGAAATTAGTTCCAAGTCTTGAGCACTCAGATTCTCACAGAAGCAACATTACTCTGCACCAGAGTTTGGTAACATCCTTGCTTATTCTACAACAGTCTGATCCTTAGAGAACAGTTCTTCTGTGAACTACAACACACCTTCAAATACAAAGGATTATGTCATCTCTCAGCCTTGACTTGGAGGATGCTCACAGATAAACTAACATTTTCCTTATCAAACTATACTGTATACAGGTATTTCTCTCCCATTATCTTTAGCTTGAATTTCTGGTTGTTCATGTTTGTGTTTTCAAACTTCAAGAAATATTTTATATAAAATAGACATTTGAAAATATGTGGGAAAATACATTTGCTCATTGGTTGTCCAAATTGAATTTTTTATAAAGTTTAATTTAAGATAAATTCTTTACAAATTATCTCAGTTGTTTCCACGTGGTAAATCTGGAAGAAGTTTAACACAACTGAGCATGGACCATTAGTGACAAACTATTTTAACTCAGCACAGTATGTCAAGTGTGCCACTATAACCCAAACACAAGGCTTAAAATTTTCCTGTTTACCTTTAGTGAGTCCACGTTTTTTCTTGTTGGCTTTCTCTAGGTGTTTCTCTTCTTTGTCACTTTTAGTCACATCCACATTATCATCTAGCTCATATTTTGAGAGTGTTTTAGGAAGAAAGAAAAAGGGGATGCTGGTGAGGATATTCACTCCGGCACAGATCAAAAAGCCGATCCACCAAGCACCGACCCAGCGTGTATCCGTGGGAGTTATGGTCAGGTCATCTGTGAATAAATACCGATATTTTATAAGTTTGCACCATTCTTTACTGTGTAAACTGTAGAAAATTATTAAGAAGAATAATCACACCTAAACACAAAATTTGTCTATTGTTTGTAAACTATTCACATTTGTTCATATTCTTGTTTGGGCCTTTTACTCTGGTCCTCTGCCTCTAGTTCCTAAATGCTAGGATTACAGGTTTCTGTCACACCACAAGTTTAATTCACATTTTTGACAAAGTATGATGTGGGATGTTCTTCTGTATATATGTTTCTCTTATTGGCTGATGAATAAAACACTGTTTGGTCAGAGAGGTAGAAAAATAGGCAGGGTTAGGAGACAAGAATTGGAAGAAAAGTAGGCAGAGAGAGTCCGCCAAAATCAGTCTCCATATAGACCACAAAGGAATAGCTGGTCTGGACACTCTCTGGTAAGCAAAGACCATGTAGAAATACATTGATTAGTAGTTATGGGTTAATAATTAAGAGTCAGCCTACCAATAATAATCCCTAGCCATCGACCAATAGTTTTGTAGGTAATAGAGTATCTGTCCATGTGCTTATTTGGTGCTGAGAAGGTCAGCACGACCTGGCAGGATAAGAACAGCCAGCAACAAAACTGTCTGAGGTTGATCTATCAAGTAAAGGTCAAATTAAGAAGAAAGTCCTAGACAGCTACACATCATTTTGAAATGATACAAAAATATTTGAGAAATATTTAAGGAACCATCTTTAACCTGTTGTATTCTTATCTCAAAACATCAGAGGAGGCTGGAGCAACAGTTCAGTGGCTAAGAGTTATACTTGTTCTTACAGAGGTACTGATTTATATTTCTAACGCACTCACAGAAACTCCCTACTACCCACAACTCTAGTTTTAGTTTATGTTATTCTGACAATTGTTCCAATAAAAGGCAAATATAATAGGTGGCAATATATTTTCCAGCAGTGAATTAGCATTTCTGTCTCTCAGTTCATTTCACACAACAGAAAGATCTCTGTTTTTATTCATAGTGATGACCTCATTGACAAAAACCTATGTGTGTTAATCTTTTGAGCTCTAAGGTTAGGCGGGAATATGGTGGGAGAATCTTGAACTTCTAATCAGAGAGTTATATCCTATCTCTGTTCTTCTTAGGTTTTCACTCTGTAATCAGTGATAAAATGCCTATCTGGGATCTAAAGGAGTCAGTGGTATAGCAATCTGTAGCATTCTCCTGTACTTTAGAGTCTGGACTGTATAAATAAAAGTTACTTTACCTGTATTCACAGACCCAGTGTCTACATAAATGGTTGCACAGAAGGATGCCAAGAAGAGTCCAATCAAAGGGCCAAAAATCTTCCCTGATTCTAAAATCCCTGGAAGTAAACAAAGATAGGAAGTTACACAACCACACAAAAAATTTGCTTGCACAAAAAAGCCTTGAGATTTTTGTTTGTTTTTTTTTTGGTTTGGTTTGGTTTGGTTTGGTTTTATGAGACAGGGTTTCTCTGTATTGTTTTGGAGGCTGTCGGTCCAGCCCGGCCTCGAACTCACAGAGATCTGCCTGCCTCTGCCTCCCGAGTGCTGGGATTAAAAGCATATGCCACCACTGCCTGGCGAATGTGAATTGTTTTTAATTTTAGATTTCTTTTCCTTCCTTGGCAAAGATAGGAATCCAAAAGGCTAGGCAAATGCTCTACAACTAAGCTGTACCCACTTATCTCAGATATTCTTATGCATTTAACATATAAAAAATTAAGTTTGATATGTATATGTACACATATATGTTACATTACATATGTGTGTTGCAAGTACATACATTGGTTTCTATAAATACTGAAAAAAATTCCCATTGTTTCAATATGGAATGACCCCCAGAAGCTCATGTGTTACAGACTTGCTTCCCAGTGGCAACCACTGGGGTATGAAGGAACCATCTCAATTCAGGGCATGGTGTTGAGTCTTCAGGTTATCAGGAGAAGAACCACAGCCCCTCCTCATTCTGCTTTGCTTTCCAGTCACAAGATGAATGCTTTCAGTCCTCCCTTACTTCCTCCATAATGAGCTGCCTTATGACAGAACTCCAAAACAGACAGCCCAGTGACATAGACCAAAACTTCCAAAGCAGTGAACCAAATGAAAACTATCCTTTATCAACCATTATTTCAGGTATTTATTAAAGTGATTGAAATCTGATTGACACAGAGGCTTCATCACTCAAAGCCACATTCCAAATTCACTTTTATGCTGAGTTAAAGGTCAAGGCTGTACCATCACAGGTAGAACCAAGAATGCTATGATGAGAACAACCTCCTTTTGATGCTTCCAGAGCCATGCTTTCAAAGGGACTCTGTGATGCTTAGCTTGAATTGTCAACTGGAAACAACCTAGAGCTACCTGGGAGGAGAGTTTTAATGAAGTATTATCTCTAGTGGGTTTTCCTGTGGGCATGTCAGCAGGAGATTGTCTTAATTAAGTTAACTGATGTGAGAAGACCCAGCCCACTGTGGGCAGCACCATTCCCTAGGCAGGGAGTCATCAGCTGTGTAAGAGTGAAGAAAGAGCTGAGCACAACGTTGCAAGCAAAGACATAAGCATGCATGCTTTCACTCCCTGTGCTCTGGTAGGCGTGACCAGCTGCATCAAGCTCCAGTGACTGTGACTTCCCTGTTGTGCTAGAATTGTAAGTCAAATGAACCTCTCCAAAGTTTCATTTGCACAGACACAGGAATGAAACTAGCACAGTCTCAAAAGCAGAATATGCCGTGATGAATTTCTTGTAATGTGTCTTCATCAAAGCTCTTGTCCTGAAACTTCCTTCCAAAGAAAGGACGTGACCTCATAGCAGCAATTCTCTTAGGTGCTATCCTGCGTTTCTTTCTTCCTTGTTATTATTTCATTTACTCGGTCCCTTCCAACCTCACCTGGCTTCTGTGAAAGCACCACCAGCATCTCCCAGCTTACCTGAGTTCAGAATCTCTGCTGAGCCATCCCTGCTCACAGAAAATCCAGACAGGGAGAAGTTCAACTTCCTGCCTTCTCTTCACTTTCCATGTCTTTTCCTCCTCCTCTGTGCTTCTGTGGCTTAGTCCTCCTCTGTGAGCCTGAGATCCCAACATCAAGTGCTTCTGTCTTCCTTGTTCTCTCAAACACTCCCTGCTGTTTGATTCCTTCTATCCAAGGATTCCTGCAAGATCTCCAACCTCCACTCTTCATTCCTGCCCTCTACTGTCTCCTGGACTCCTCATTCTGTTCAGATGCTTCCTGATTCTAAGATGCTAACTCTTTTGGCACCAGTGACCTCCATCATGGATAACTTTTTCCAGTTTTGATCTTTATTCTCTTAACTTTCTTGATATTGTGGGTCAACTCCTCATCTGTCTGCTTCCTTCTAACACCTTCTCCTAACTATATGTTTATTGTTAACTTTGTTCCCATGGAAACATTTTTGACTTTTCTTCCTCAAACTCTACCCACTATATTACTAGGGTCCCCCAGTGTGTGGACCTATAGTTTCTCACTACATATATGTTTTCCCAAGGCAACCTAAATTCCTCTTGATTTAACTTGTTGCCCAGCATAGATGAATCTCAGTTTTAACATTTGGCTTCTATATGTCTTATGCCATATAGCCATATATGCAACAATATTCCTAATTTCTTATTTGTGTTACAGTTAATTCTATATATATACATATATATCTATATAATCATATAGCTATTTATGAAACTGAGATATTTCTGTACTAACCATAAGACACATGAATCATGAATCTTACACCATTATAGGTACTATTATATTTAATAGAGTTATGTAGAAAATTTGTCTCCAGCAGTTTGATAAAGAGATCCATAGTCTAAAAATTTATTGCAGGAAAGTGCTTGCATTATTTTCTTTAGATGTCTGTGAATGTATTTAAAGAGAATAACTAGTATAACACTAGAAATAATTATTGTAAAATCAATAAGACTCCAAAAATATATTTGTAATTGAATTGTATTTGTAATTGAATTAATCTCAATTTATCCTAACCCTATTCCTGTTATCTCTTTTTATATTTTCTTCTTAATCATTTGTTTGTTTTAAGTAATATGTATACATGGAAAATATCTATATATACAAAGTTATGGAGTTATGGTCAACTACAGATGGACTGGCTTAAGAACCAAAGCAAATTATCCCTAATAAACTAAGATCATTTAAGAGAAAACATAAGAAGGTCTACACTGTGGGAGCCCACAAGTGATGCAGTTTCCATCTGGAGTCTATTCTGACTTATAAGACATTAGATTTCAAGCTTGCTTGTTTCAGTCTCCTTGAGAGCCGTGAGAAAGTTCTAACTAAACCCAAGGAAAAGAGTATGTTATCCAACTAACAAGCTTCTGATACCAGCCAAAAGGCACATGAAGCTGTTTGCTGCTAGCAGGACTCTTATGATAAATAGTGAACCTGATTACTCCTCAATTCAAGGATAGTGCAGGGAGTTGTTTAATTGACTGTGCAGCTCTGTGTTCTGCTTTGCCTCTAGTCTGTATATAGGCAGGGTCTAAATTAAACTCGGGGTGTCCAGTATGTTGAAAGGCAGGGACTGGGCAGTCCTCCTGTATGTATCCTGCGTTTCTGTGTCTGTTTCTTTCATCTGTCATTTCTCAATCCTCATGCCCCTACTCAGGTAACCCAGATGACTCATTGGATCAGGCTCCTGCACTATACTAAACAGCCTCTTGCCTTTGAGATGCAAGAGTGTTTTTAAAGATATTTTCAACTAATGCAAACAAAATAATCAACTTGAATATTTGTTAAAACCATTAGGAAAACATTCCTGTTTAGGTTGAGGATTTATAAGGAAGAAAATTGTGTCATTAAATTCAGAGAGAAGCAAGGTGCAAAGCCCCAAGTAGTAAAAGAGTGAAGAGGGTAAATAAGAATCCAACTGGTTATCATGGTACAGAGACATGATTAAAACTATCTTTGGTAGGGCTTCTCCTGACAGAATGTTTACAACAATGCAACAAAAGAAAACACTAAGTGCCAGGCAGAAGGTTCAGAAGGAAAGGCCGAAGGACCAAAGTTCAGTCTCCAGGTTAACTCTCAAAAACTGTCTTCTGGCCACCATACTGGCAAGAAAATGCACATGTACACACACACACACACACACACACACACACACACACACACACACACACACACACATACATACACACACACACACAGCGAGAGAGAATTAAAGCAATATTTTAAAATGCTAAGCATAAAATGCCCAGTAATAAAGTTGTAATAACTTATAGATGGAAGAATAATATCATAAAAGCAGCAAAAATAGAAAAAAATTATTGAATCTAAGGAAAGATTTCCAGGGAATATAGGTGGATCTCTCACGGTTTAGGGATAATGTGGTAGCATCCGAAGACTGCAGGATCCGCAGGTCAGAGGGATCTCCATAAGTGAGAAGCTGCTTGATGAAGCAGCCTGTCTGCAGCTGCCGCTTAACTCCCCCATTGAACAATCTTACGACCATAGCAGTTTGCTCACCATTTAGTAAACACAATGTGTCCAAACCAATAACTGATTTCCTCCCTCCCAGAAATTGTTTTCCTAATAATGATCCCAAGTCTGATTTCAAACTTACCAATGTATAAAGGGGAGTTTTCAGATTTGGCAAAATCTTCTATGTAGGAAATACCCAAGGGCATGATGGGAGTTTCACCAATTCCACGGATAAGATTTCCTACCATTACATATATCCACATTGAGGATTTAATTTCTTTTGCACATTCTTCATTAAAACAAAAGAAAACTACATGAATATTTTAGCAGTCAAGTGTTACTGACAGTTAATTCAAACTTCTTTCTTTCCATCCTCCCTTCTTTCTTTCCTCTTTCTTTTTTATGTCTTCCTTTTTTTCTTTCTTTTTTTGATTTTTCAGGATAGGTTTTCTCTGTAGCTTTGAAGCCTGTCCTGAAACTTTCTTTACAGACCAGGCTGGCCTCAAACTCACAAAGACCCACCCACCTCTGCCTCCTGAGTGCTGGGATTAAAGGTGTGCACTACCACTGCCCAACTTCAAATTTTTCTTTAAGTGTTTCTTAGGTCACAAGCTCATGGTGACTATCAAGTGATTTACCTACTATGCTGGCTGTTAATCACTGGGTGATCCCTGCTGCTTATTTTGAAATAATAGTTAACAAGGTAGTATAAGTTCTATGTCAATGCCTACTTGGGTGGGAGAAATGACTCTACAATACATAACTCATCTCAGTTCAGAGGATAGTGATAACACATTGGCTGTGAGAATTTACACCAAAGAAGTAGGAAACAGTAAAACCCCCAGGGACACAGTTTTCAGCCAACCAATGTTGTCACTTAGTTACTGTGTTCAGTCTCATTCCTCCACAACTTTGAGGAAAGAAAAAAGCACACATGTGTGTATGTCTCTGCCAATTCATGCTGTACTGACACAACTCAGAGAAGACTGACAAAAATTTGAATTCCCCACAGCCTCTATTACTTTGTAGTTGCTTAAAGTAAAATCATTTTCCATCTCTAGGTTTTCAGATTCTTATCTTTGATAAACATAGTGATTTCTGTGTACAGATCACAGGGAGACTCTCAACTCTCTTCTAAGGCAGAAGTGAAACTATCAGACACTGGAAGAATCAAGCGCTTTCCTGGCTTTCTGCACATGGGGAGACTTAACTTATCTACAAAAATTCAAAAAACACAAGGGGTGAATTTCCAAAGTCTGAAGTTGAGAATGGAATAGAATGGAGGACACTGTTGCAGGTTCATTTGTTTAGAGGGATTCTGTGGCTCAGAGCTTCAAGATGGTTGCTCTTTGACTCTCATGATATTTTGATCTCCACGGACTTCCTGAGAGCAGTGACATTCCAAGCCTTGGAGACTGCTGCAAGTTCTGTGGCATGGATCTAGCATAAGATGGAGAAGTTCTGGCCTGAGGTGATCCTGCTGAGACAGTTCTAGACTAAATGTTCAGAACACATATTGGGTTCTTTACCATATGTGACATTAAAATATTTTTAAAAATATAGATTGATGAGTGTTTCTTCATGAGCATATGTGAATGTGTGCAGTTGTCCAAGAAGGACAGAATGAGGAACCAAATTCCCCAGAACTGGAATGGCAAGGGCTTGGAAGCAACCTGATGTCAGTGCTGGGAACCAATCAGGACCTCTGAAAGAATGGTATGGTGCTCTGAACCAAAATATCGCCCAAGAGACTCCAGTATTAAACACTTAGTCTCTAGTTGGTGAACCTCTTTGAGGAGGTAGAGGAAGAATGTCCCTGGAGAAGGGCTTCAAGAGGATAAACTCTCACTCTAATCCAGTCTGATCTTTATGCCTCATGCTTATAGTTGAGTTGTGAACTTCTATTACTTGCCATGGCTGACTCTCAATTCTCTAGAACAGTCATTCTTAACCTGTTGCTTACATCTCTCTTGGAGGGGTCATACTATCCTTTCATAGGACTCACCTATAACCATCTGAAAACATAGATGCACATCATAATTCATAACAGTAGAAAAAGTACAGCTACAAAAGAGCAATACAACAGTTTTATGATTGATGGTCCCCACAATATGAGGAACTGTATTAAATGATTTCAAGATTAGGAAGGTTGAGAACCACTGCTCTATAATCACAAGCACACACATATTCTTCTGTGTATAAGTTCCCTTGGCCATGGTTTTCTATCAAAGTAAAAGAAAAGTAACTAATGCATACAGTAAGTTCTTTTACATATGTGGTTGTGTCTGTGAGTGTGTGTATAGAGACAAGTCAACAGTTCTCTAGCATAATCATTGGGTTAATCGGTTGGTCAAGTCATTAGATCTGTTAATGGAGTCCTAAGACTGGCAGTATTGAGAAGTACTGAAAGGTAAGAGGTGGTCCTAATTGGAGCAAGTGGGACATGGCGCAGGCAGGCCCACAGAGGCTATATCTTCCCACTTACTGAATCTTGTTTTCTATTCACCTACCCCAAAAGAAGTGAAGAAGGGCATCAGCCAACACTCATGTCACTGTGACATTGTCTACACAGGCTGGCACTTCTAAAATAGTGAGTAGAAACATGCATTTCCTCCCCTGAGTTGTTTGGGATTTTGATCCCAGTGAAGCAAAAATTAATAATACAGAATATGCACAGGAGCCAGGACCACAGCATGTGAACCCATAGGAAGTAAGGGAAGCACAGCAGTTTGGTTGAAATGTAAATAATGTCTCTCTTAAACTCATGGGTAACCAAGGAATTCAGAACAGTGACAGGCACCTGCCATTCCATGATGCATCAGGTAAACAGCATAGATCCAGGAAAGTATCTTTCTGACTGTAATTCTTATTTGTATAATCACTCACTGTGATGGAGAGTTTTTGTCAATTTGACTCAAATTTAAACATGTCTGAAAAGTAGGAATGTCAGTTGAGGAACTGCCTCCATCAGAATGGCTTGTGGGGATGGGTAGGAGACATTTTCTTCTTGACTAATTGATGTGAGATTGCCCAGACTACCATGGGCAGTAGGAGACATTTTCTTCTTGACTAATTGATGTGAGATTGCACAGAATACCGTGGGCAGTACCACTCTGGAGTATCTGGGTCTTGACTTTATAAGAAAGGCAGCTGAGCAAGTCAGAGGAGCTAGGCAGATTTCGGCACTCCTTAGTGCTTTCTGCTTTGGTCTCTCTATCCAGGTTCCTTGACTTGCCTCATGGTCAGGTACAATTTGTAAGCTAGATAAACTCTTTCCTACCTAAGTTGGTTTTAGTCTATGTTTTATTAAGCAACAGTAACCCAAACTAGATCAATTGCATAGATCTCATCATGTGTGGTTATATCTTTCTTGCACAAATAAAGCCTGTCTAGGGGTCAGAGAATGGAGCTTTCCACCAGCTAATCATAGAAGTCTGGCTAGGAAGTGATGTGGCTGGGCAGAAACTTGCCACTAGTTAACCATAGAGGTCAGGAGGTCTGTACAACAGACAGGAAGTGATGTAGCTGGGCAGAAACAGGATATAATCAGAATCAAACAGGAAATCGTTCTCTTCTCTATTGAGACACTGAGGAGGTAAGGTGTTCTGTGGCTTGCTATTTCTCTCTGATTTCTCAGCATTTCCCTCTGTATCTGACTCTGACCTTTTATTATCTAAACCAAATAAGAGTTCCATGTTACAATCATGTGTCTAAATTCATCATTCTCAGTCATTTTCCCTTCTGGGACTAAGTCTACAATGGTGCTGGAGTGAATATCTTTGTGGTTTTTTTAATCGCCCACTTTAAAAAAGAAAGGAGTCTTAATAATTATATTCAAACTTGGGAGGCAGAGTATTCTATCTTATTAAGCAATTGCCTTCTCTGAAAAGGTAAATAAAGTTTGTCCATTTGTCTTAGATGCCCATTAAACCCACTATCACATTCAAAGCCATTCATAAAATAGTATTCTCCAGCTGAGTCTCTAAGGAGAAAGCAAGGACAAGCTCTAGTCAACCTGCTGGGTCTGGCGTTGGTGTTAATGTCTTGGTTCTGTTTCCTGAACACAAGAAGCTGTTTGAGGACAAGTTGCTTGCAGGTGAAATCGTTTTCTCATATTCGTATCTGTGTGAACACAGGAAACATTCATTGTGAGGAACTAATGAGAGCCTCTGCAGATTACTGAGAACACAACATCCAGAACCTGTGCAGTCATGTTCCCACAACACTCATTCTAATAATCATAAATCCTATTGCAGGGCCAGAGTGATGACTTCAAACCTGGAAATAACATAAAGGTAGAAGGAGAGGGATGACTCATCTGTTCATCACCTACACACACCATGCATACACAAACACATATACATATATACACACATACACATGCAAGTAAATAAATAGAAACATAAATCTGTATCATTAGGCTGGATATGTAGTGCTGGGCTAAACTTCATAACCACATCAACAGGGTGTGCTGGCCAATACCTGTAACCCTAACACTTGAGATATGGATGGTGGAACACCAGAAACTCAAAGTCACCCTCAGCTACACAGTTAGGTTGAGGCCAGAATGGGCTTCATAAGAACTTATCACAAATAAAAATGAAACAAACAAAAAACAAATACAACGCCCCCAAAACATGCCCCTTCTTTACACTTAGCTCTTGTCTCTACATATAAGTGACATGCCTTTTAGATTCTCTAGTGTTAACCTTCTAAATATGGTTTCTAAGTAATTTCTAAATAACTATTTCCTAGAAATAATTGGGGTAAGATAAAGAACAAAAGGAGAAAAATAAAGAGAATCACTAAAGTAGAATTGAAAAGATAATGGCTTTAGAGAGACAGAGAACAACACACAAATCAAGAGACTTTCTCTGGATTGTCTGAGCTGTGGTCCTACCCTTCCCTTCTGAGAATTCAAACACTCATTCTCCTATGTGTTCATTAACTCCAACAGAAGAAAAGATTCACATGTCATAACAAGAGATGACAGAATCAATCACCTGACAATGCAGTGTCGTGGCACCAAAAGTGCTAATAAATCTGGCCATTTAACTTGATCAAATCACCAATGATCAGTTTGTCCTAGATAGAAATGACAGAATGCAATAGTAGAGGAGAATGTGTCCAGATAAGTTTCTCTCTGTTGTAGGTATTATTGATTAACTAGTTATTTATCTATTATTTCTAAGTGTATTTTAGAAGGGAGACAGCCAGAGAAAACCAAGGCTGCTGAATTATGGGTGAGCATGGAGCTATAGTTGCCAACATCCTACTTTCTATGCTGCATAATATAGCATAGAAATCAGAATTAATTCCCCCTAGAACCACTGCCTGGATAACCCTACAGAAGTTTCTATTGAAATGTGGACAAGATCCTGTGTGTCTCTACTCACTACCCAGTGAACACAGATCAGCTTCGAAGAATTATCACCTTTGGAAGAAGGTGGGAAAACACAATAATAGTCAAATATTTCTTGACATTGAGTTGAATAGAATAGAAAGGAAAAAATAATCTTTAAATTCCATCCACAAACTTTCGGTTTCCTGAAAAAACAACGGTGAAAATAAAATAGCCTTCATTTAATTCATTATCCACTTAAAAATTAGTTGTCTTCTAAAGGTCCATATATTCCTCAATTGCCAGTAGAAAGGCAGAAAGGGTTTCAAAATGAACAATTCGAATGCCCATTTCCTCGCAGATAAACAAAGCTAAACATGAAGATGCAGTTCAGTTGGTGCTTTGGTGTTAGGAAAGCATCACTTGTAGGTTTGATCCTGAGCACTCAATAAACCCAGGAATGGTGGACCAGGCCCACAGTCCTAGCACTCGGGAGATGGAGACAAGAGGATCAGAACCTCGTTATTATTCTTAACTACAGAGTAATACAGAGCCAGACTGAACTACATGAGACTTTGTTTCGAAATAAAGAGTGTAGGAGGAAAACAATGCCGCCATTAACCATGTGACTTACTAGAGGCACAAACAGATGAGGTAATAAAAGAGCAGTTTACCACACCGCTAACCACACCCATTTAGGCATAACTAAAGAAGTATACGGACGGACATAAAGACGTATACGTTCGTAGGCGGTGAACTATGTCACTAGCCAGGCCCACTTTTGGGCATGGCTGGGGGTGTTACGGGGAAGGTATAAAAGACTGAACAACGGAAGTCTTGATCTCTTTTTCCGGCTTTCAGCTTCCAGTTCGGCAGCGGAAAACTACTGGGCTCATCTGGGTTACTTGTTTGGTATCTTGTGAGTAATTTCTACAATAAATACTTAGTTTTACTTTCAGTAAGTGTACCGTTTATCGTTACGGCATCATTTGGTACATCAAAAGAGATTTCAAAACAGGGAGTCTTGTGAAATATCAGGTGTCTCCATGGTACAGATGTTTGTGTACAAACCTGACAACCTAGATTGCATACCAGGTCCCACAGGGTAGGCAGAGAGAACCTACTTCTGATATTTGTTTCCTGACCTCACACACCAATCACCACAATAGTCCAGGTCAATCACCACCCAGTCCTGATCGATCACCACCCAGTCCAGGTCGATTACCACACAGTCCAGATCAATCATCACCCAGTCCAGATTAGTCACCACCCAGTCCAGTTCATTCATTCCCCATCCAGATCAATTAACATTCAGTCCAGATCAATCACCAGCCAGTCCTCATCAATTACCAGGCAGTCTGGCTCAACCAACTCTTGACTTATCCTACTGAAAAAGGGAAAAACATCAATTAACCAAGTCTACACTTACATATAGAATTTCCAGTTAGTTTTCCATAGTTATTCTCTCTAAAATATGAACAAATAACCAAGGGCAGTCTGTGGGGGCCACTCTATTACAGTAAGTCAAAACAAACAAAAGCCATACTTGAAGGAGCCAGAGACAAAGGAGACAGATGATGAGAGTCATGTGGGAAAAGACACTGTATTATTAAGAAAATAAAAAGATGTCCCCTTAGAGGAGATATTAGAGGTAGAGATATGCCCTTGATAATAACAATTTAGAAATATGATCATACAAGTGACAGGTCATCCAAGAGACTGGATGACAAAGTTAGTCTCCTAGGAAGCACCTAAGAGATTTGAAGACATGAAATAAGAAAGATGGCAGGATAGGAATGAAATCCAGGATGCCAGTGCTCAAATGGCAGATGTAGAAGAAGAACATAAGGAGGAAGATATCAGGTACAAAAGAGGGAAAATACACAAAAAAACTTTACAAAGTGTCCTGAACGAAGCCTCCAGTTTGAGGTGTCAAAGGACGTAAACCCATCATCATCAGCGTTAGGCTGTGGAGCTAAAAGAGAAACCAGTCACGGGAGTTAGAACACTAATTCTAATTCCAAACTACACAAAATTTGGGGCGATGTCTTCAAAGGCTTGAGAAATTTCTTCTCTATGGAAAGAAGTGAGAGAAGGCAAAGTTAGAAGCAGAGGACAGGATACTCCTCGTGTGAGTCATTAAGAGCAAGAAAGAACCAAACCCAGGTAGTTGTGGCGGCTCATCCTTGTAGTACCAACACCACGTGGAAGGCCATTTATTTGGTGCTAATGGATGCGGGACCAGGTGGTAGAGAAAATCCAGCAACACAATGGTGCCCTGATGTGGTTTGCAAGAACTTCCACGTGGAAACTGACAAAAGCTTAAAAAGGGATTTTTAGAAGAAAAGAACAAAGTCAAGCATGGCTTCTTGGAAGCAGCATTTTCTTGGGTAGGCTCTGTATGAGACAAGCAGAAGCTCAGAGCTCCCTTAAGAGAAGCTTCCTGACTCAGCATAATTGGCAAGAAATAGCACAGTAGCTGCTGCTTTAATTTTAGTCAAGCTGTATAACAGATAAAACACTTGTGGCCAGGAAAAGATAGAGATATACTGTAAAGACAGATTCAGATGAAGAAAAACCTCTAAAGTGTTTACAGTGTGCTTTAAAGTATATGTAGGCTTGAGAGAGAAAAGGAAAAGGAAAAGGATAAAGAGGTTAAAAAAAGAAATAGAGTAGCTGGGCAATGGTGGCACACGCCTTTAATCCCAGCATTCATGACGTAGATGCCAGCACATCTCTGTGATTTCAAGGCCAGCCTGAATACAGAGTGAATTCCAGGATAGGCAAACGTACACAGAGAATCCCTGTCTCAAGGAATGAAGAAATAAAGGTAAGAGAATTAGAGTAATAAAAATACCATGTAAAGATGGAAAGTACACAGAGTCTGGATATTGCATGTTATTGTGGTGTCTTTCAATTGTTTTATTGCTGGAGAAACAGCAACAGCTGCTAAAAGACATTTGATTATAAATGCTGTGGATTAGTCCAACCTGTAGATTTTAAAAATGCTTTGACTTCTAAATTTATGTATAAGGACATATTATTTTGGAAAAGATATTTTGTTTGTGTTTCCACAGAAAATGAAAGGCTGTGGATTCCTTCCAGACTAATATGGTTTGATGAAGAAAGACCCCCAAGCAGTGGCCCAGGTGATCCAACATCCAATACAGCTGACATGATGCAGTCTCAGACTACAACAGCCAGCATTTGGCCAGGTTTCTGTGTATTCTCAGGATCTACTTGATATTAACAGCACCACCAAACAGCACGAAGCAGTTTGAAGAGAATGATGTGCCAATTCCCAAATATTGTTTATAAATGTTTGTTTTCATTTAAATTCGGTTGGTTATAAATGACTAAGAATCACAATCAGTCTCTTTGTAAAGGAAAATAAAAGCAGAATATGATACAGAAATGAATACTTTGTATGGGTATGTATTTTGGTTTATTGATACAAATTTAAGATCAATTTTATTATATGCATATTTCTCCTCTTGTTTGGGTATTGTGTTTATACAGCTCATTTAAAAATGTAATGTATACATTTAAATACAGATTATACTCACTTATGATAGTCAAAGCTTATAGTTATGTTAGTTATGTTATCTAGATATACAGAGATATATTTCAGATGGATGATAGTCTTCAAACTTTTGAAAGACCTTCGGGGTATGGCATTTAAAATGGTTTAGGGTTTTTCATGGCAAAGAGACACAATTGCTCCTGGAAACACCAATTATGTCAGAGAGGAAGATGGGCATCAAAGAAACTTGTTATGGAATTTGCCTTCAACATGGCAGAAGTATCCATTTGGGCAAGAAACTGCTCTTGCCTAGAATGTTTTGCTGTATGCTCTATAAAGAAGACATGCATGACCCACAGGAGAGTTACTGCTGAACATACCAAAACAAGATGGGACAATCTTGAAGGGTCCCTGCTTTATGGAAGAGTCTGCTAGACATTCTGTAGGACACAGACTGATAAACTGCCAAAAGAGGCAGACAGTTTAAATTTTCCTGCTTTGCTGAGAAGTCTGCCAGACACACTAGGCCTGTAGGCTGGAGATGGATGCCCCAACGTTACAGAGGAACTTTGGGTTGTCTCAACAGGCAACGAGATGTCTCTGTCAGTTCTAGAGTTTATATATTATCCTTCGGTGGTAATTATGGAGTTGAAAACAGATAGTTATAGTTATGGTTTTACATAGATATGATAAAAGATAAATTACATATAAATCTTTAAACTCACATAGATAGGATAGATGCTAAAATATTTTCTTTAATTTTTGCCAAATTTTAATGTACTAAATATTGCAACTGTAGTTCTTGCTTAATAACTTTTGTTATATATAATTTTACCATGTTAAAGCTAAAACCCTTCTTTTTATTTAGGTAGAAAAGAGGAGATAATGGGGGATGCCCTTCCATATATATGTTTCTCTTATTGGTTAATGAATAAAACACTGTTCAGCCAATGAGGCAGGGAGATAGGCAGGACTAGGGGAGGAGGAGAATTCTGGGAAAGTTAGGCAGAGAAGGCCTGCCAGGAGGAGTCGTCATGTAGATCCCGGGTAGACAGGAGGTGCCAGGTGTTTTGCGGTAAGCCAGGACCACATGGTAAAACACAGATTAATAGAAATGGGATAATAATTAAGACAGAACTATCCAATAAGAAATTCAAGTCACTGGCCAACAGAGTTATAATTAATACAGTGTCCATGTGTTCCCTTGGGGCTGAAGGGCAGCAGGACCAGCTGGGAAAAAGAGCCTCTCCTTACAGAAGGTTAAAACAGGAAGATCAGCAAGAGTTTGAGGCCAGCCTAGGCTACATGGTAAATTCAACCTGGGCTACACAGCAAGACCCTGTCACAAAAACAAAGCAGGACTGGAGAGATTGCTCAGTGGTTAAAACCATTTGTTGCTCTTGAAGAGGAACTGGGTCCATTCTAGCACCCGCATGGTAGCAGACAACCATCTCTAACTGTAGTTCCTGGGAAAATGACACCCCCTTATTATCACCATAGGCACCAGACACACACACAGTGTGCGTAGATACATGCACATAAAACACTCACACAAATAAAAGTGATAAAAGATCCTGAAATTAAAATGAAAGAAAGAAGAAGGAAATAATGAAAAAGAGTGGAGGGGAGGCAGGAGGAAAAGGAACATGAGGGGAGAAATTGAAACAAATTCACAAGGAAAAGAATGATGGAGAATTACAAAGAAATCACACTGAGCTGGCCTAGAGGTTTGCAGTCTAGAGACAGGTGGAGTAGAGCAGACAGCATTGAGAGGCAAGGTCAAGTCAACACAAAAGTCTCTGACCTGTCAAGAGATGTTCACACCGGGCAGTGGTGGTGCACGCCTTTAATCCCAGCACTCGGGAGGCAGAGGCAGGCGGATCCCTGTGAGTTCAAGGCCAGGCTGGACCGACAGCCTCCAAAATAATACAGAGAAACCCTGTCTCGTAAAAACCGAGAGAGAGAGAGAGAGAGAGAGAGAGAGAGAGAGAGAGAGAGAGAGAGAGAGAGAGAGAGAGAGAGAGAGATGTTCGCAATGCCAGTCAGTGAAATAGTGAGAGACTCAAAAAAAAAGCCAATCAAATGAGAAAAACTAGCTAAGTGTTCATCTAGATAAAAAATTGAGTTCTCCATCTATTATGGTATCTCTTTTTTTCCATTGTGTAATTTTAGCTTCGTTGTCACAAATCAGGTGTTCATAGGTGTGTAGGTTAATATCAGGGTTTTCAATTTAATTCCACTGGTCCACCTGTCTATTATTGTGCCATACTAAGCTGTTTTCAGGACAATATCTCTATAATAGAGCTTGAAGTCAGGGATGGTGATGCCTCCGGAAGTTCCTTTATTGTAGAGGGTTGTTTTGACTATCCTGGGTCTTTTGTTTTTCCATATATAGTCGAAATTATCCTTTCAAGGTCTGTGAAGAATTGTGCTGGGATTTTGATGGGGATTGTATTGAATCTGTAGATTGCTTTTGGTAAGATTGCCATTTTTGCTATTTTGATCCTACCTATCCAAGAGCATGGAAGATCTTTCCATTTTCTAGTATCTTCTTTAATTTCTTTCTTTAAAGACTCAAAGTTCTTGTTATACAGGTCTTTCACATGTTTGATGAGCATTACCCCAAGATATTTTATGTTGTTTATGACTATTGTAAAGGGTGATGTTTCTCTGATTTCATTCTCAGCCCATTTGTCTTCTGCATATAGTAGGATTACTGATTTTTTTTAGTTAATCTTGTGTCCTGCCACTTTACTGAAGGTGTTATCAGCTGCAGCCATTATAGCTTTAAAGAGAAATCTGGCACTTGGGAAATGTTCAGAGATTTGCAAGGATGACCCCCAACTAACAATCTAAACAATAGTGGAGAGGCTACTTTAAGCACTTTGGAAATATGAAAAAAAAGTCACTTCAGCCTTGACATTGGTCTATCACTTGGTAACCCACAACTATAACACACTGTAAACCCCTGGTAACTGAAGTATTTAAATAGTTCCAATAAAGGACTCAGCACAACTTTGGAAAATTCAGAGAATCCATTCATATGTCTCAATTTCACAAAAGCAGTGTCTCAACTGCAGGAGAGTAGGGTCTCACATCCCCACTTCATAATGAACTGGATGGTACTTTAAACAGACCCAAGACCACAAGATTCACAAATCATAACAGCAGAATGGAAACCATATCTTCTGATTTCCATTTTAGCATTTTGTTGTTTGGGGGATCATTGCTGCTCCCCTAGAGGAAATTCTGAACTTTATTTCTATAGGGGAAAGTTGAAGCTAAAATAACAACAAGGACTGGAATACTCACCGGCCCATCAGGAAATGAGGTAGTGATATTAAGAAACACCCTAGGCCCATAACCACACATCCAATGCCAATCATGATAGGCCTGTGCAGTTTCGTTCCAAAATAACTCACAAATATAATCAACAATAGGTTTCCTGGGAGGGAGAAATGAGAATATTGTCACATCATAGCCAACAGCCTCTCCACAATTGTTTAACAACCACCTTAAGAATACAAGAATGGGTGCTTAGGAGGTTTGTGATATATATATGCCCATTGTGACCATGAGGAATGTTTCCCTCCTCGAATATTTAAGGCTCTATTCAAGATTATCCAGCCTTTGGGAATGTGTAGAAAACCAGGTGTTATCCTGCAAGTCACATCTGATGTCTCCTCTCATGACTGCTGTATGCAGGGTCAAAGGAACTCATGGTTTTTAACTTGCTATTTAAAAACATTTTTATTGCTCAACATGGCCAAGACGGATGTCTGCTCCTATTTCCACATCTTTCCTTAGACCTTGTAATACTGTTTATTAAACAGAGAGAAGGTAAGGATCCTAACTCTCCAATGGGTCTTAGGTCTAGATGGCAGGAGTCAAAAATTCAAACCTAACATGCATCTCTGTGGGTTAGGAGAAAGATTAGGTTTAAAGAAACTCAGACAGGCTTCTGATAAAGGTGTCAAGAGATGACAGAAGACGTGTCCTGGTGACACATGTCTGGAATCCCCAGTTACACGGAGACTAAGAGAGGAAGATTACAAGAACAAAGTGAGCCTGGGTTATGGAGTGAGTTCACAACCAGCCTGGGTAAATTACTACTAATTTACTAAAAATAAAAGGTAAATAAATGGAATGGGGATAAAATGGCAGAATGCTTTTGTAATATATGTGAGGCGCTGGGTTCAATCGTCAGTATTAATCACAGCAAAAGCAGAATTAAAAAGAAACAACTATAAATGCAATGCCTCCACAAACCACATATTTGTAGTTTAATGAAGAAATTTGCCCTGCTCATATTGTGCATAAAGAGAATGTCAGAAAACACAAACACACATCTGTGATGACTTAACAAGTCTCTAAAGTGATACTTGAAAGGGATTTGAAGTCTTTGTTTTTCTTCCAATTCTATTTCTTTCTAGCCTTGATAAGTAGTAGACATGTTGCATTATTTTGAATGGTGTATGCCTCGCCTCCATATATTTTTTACCTTGTTTGTATCCAAAATTACCACCACTGAGGTCATAATTCAAAGGTAGTGACCCAGGACCAACACTGTATAAACACTGTGCATCTTTCTAGTCTGTAGACTCTTATACCACCAGCACCCTGAATCCACTGGATCTTGCTTGAAATCTCTATTGTTTGAAAGGAAAAAACATTCCTTCCTCACATTAGACTTAGATTGGCTCTTACATTGCCTCTGATTATTAGTGGAAAGGTGTGGAGAAAAAAAGTAAGTCTTGACCAGGCTAAGTGAAGGTAGCTTGCAAAACTATCTGGGGAAATTTAATCAATACTTTTAAGCTTCCAGTTTAAAAAATCACAGAGTAGACAGAAATTATAATTTTCCATGAATTTAGGTGAGAATTATTTTCAATAATCATTAACTGGGCACTAGCATTTCTGCTCAAAGTAGTGTAGGAAGCAGTGATGACAAGAGTATCCATGATTCTGTCAGCAATAGAAGTATAAATAATGCCTATGACATAGTGATTGTTATAATTACTGTCAAAGACCATGCAGCAATAATTACTTGAAAATACAACAGATATTTGCCTTGTTAAGAAGTATAAATGTTCCTTCCTAGCAGCATGTTTAAATGTCCTGATAATTATGCTTCAATATAACTTCATTCCTTTTTACATATATAGTTTCACTTTGTACAACTAAAATATTACCCTGAAATCAGGTGACATTGGGTTTTCAATATGAGTCCTCAGCATAGAAAAATCAATACCCTCTTCCAACCCCATGCTGGCTCTCTGCCACCAGAGAGAGAAACACACAAAATCTTTAGCAAACCACAGTCTCCACCCATCTCTCATCCCTGCACATCTCTCCAGGTTCATGTTCTAGAAACTTCCATCTTCCCGCAATCCTGGGCTGTCGTGATCCCCACAAGTACTATTTGATGGTTCACCCTCTGTACAAATCTCCCCTCCATATTTTACCCATCCATTTCTCCACCTGGAAAATCTTACTCCTTCGGGAGACTGTCCTCCACAAGTATAATGTGTTCCATAAGTCCTTGAATAACTGGTGGACTGCACTTGCTGCACCTAACACACTAGAATCGGCATAAGGTCTATGTAAGGCATTCGTCCTGACTGCACTGGGAAGGCCTAGGACACGGATAACAGAGTAGGCACCAAGGAGCTTGATCCTGAAGGACGGGATGGAGCATGCTCAGTGTGGGTTAGCCACTTCACAGTCCTGGTTTCCTTTGCTGTTGTCAATAAATACATTAAACACAAGTTCACGTTGAAAGAATTACACACTATGAATAAAAGACTTTCAGGTCACTTTATTTGTAGAAGGCATCTTTCCATCATTCATTTGCACCCTCAAATCCCAGTTCATCATCCAAAATCAGGGGCTTAAGTTCATTTGCTCTTATTACAGATTTTGTCTGCTCTAGTCAAACACAGGGAAGCATCCTCATCTTTCTTGTGACTCTGAGTGGAGAGCTGTCAACCTCACAGACACAGTGGGAGAAGAGAAGCATTTGCTCTCCTTCAGAACACCAGTTCCTCCCACAGCCGCCTTCAAAATTGCCACGGAAAGGTCTTAATGTCTCTTTGATTTATCAAGTGATATAAATAGACAAGAATACCCTAAATCATCTGTCACATGTCAGAAAAAAGGGACCATGTCAAGGTATGTGGCAAAAGTTAGGTGCTATAATGGGATTATTTAAATAATATTTTCTTCACACTCAAACCAAGTTATTCAGTCACATCAGGAAGCATGTAACTCAGTGAGAATAAATATTCAAATTCAGGAAATAAAGGAGAGAATGTCAATATGTAACAATAAGTAAAATGTGAAAATAACTCACCAATCTCAAAGCTCCCATTGATCAACCCAACGATAGATGTGGGAATATTGAACTGTCTCTCTATTTGTGTGAGCATGGAATTCATATAAATTCCTGATAGTGATTTGGATAAATATGCTCCTAATAATGCCAACAGAAACATCTAGGAAGAAAAACATTTAAGAAAAAGTGAGAAATTTTATTTTCCAATTATGTATCATTTATCTGCTGATAAAAAACAGCCTCTATCATGTTTACCCAACAAAAACAGCCCTTGAACATGCAAAGAACTTTAAAGTATAATCTCTACTCTGTCATGGTGTCCAGCTCCAGAAATTCACAGTTAGAATAGCTGGTTAGCAGGTGTGACTGTGACTTTTGTATGGCTTTGGTCTTCTATCAGAGTGCCTTATTCATACAGAAATGCATGGAGTTATTCTATGTAAGACACAGTTATTGTTGGGACTTCAGCATTATACTGTTATCTTCAGGACAAGTGTTGTTCACTTTAAGGAAGGGAAGGAACAGAGAACAGGACTATACCATGGGAGGCCTACTGTGTTCTCTCTTTAGGAATGACAGGTTTCTGGATGTCCATTGCCAATTCAACGTTTTGTAGTCTTTTCTGCCTTCTTCAGAACAAAATATATTCTCACAGCCAGGGGCAATGGTCTTAGTAAACTGGTTTCTGTTGTTCTTTTTTTCTGCATGGGCCATATACCCTATAACTGTTAATCTCAGTGGTCCAAGTGGTGTTCTTGGCATATAAACCCAGGGAAGAACATTTTGGGAATCCCTCCAATGCAGAATAAAATGTGGCTGTGTGCCAATGAGACTCCTCTTGCCTGATCCAACAAACTCACTTTGATTTATGCAGTAAAGGAGCTTCCTGTTTCCCTTAACTTATCTTCCAGTAGCAGGTTGATGTCAATTGTCATCATCCCAGCTTCTGGAACTTCTGTACTCTCTCATCTAAAATAGTAGGCAATTCATAGTGTGTTTGATTAGTATTTACTGCTTGTAAAATTTGTTACAAGTACAAATTAATCTGGGTTAACCTGAGCAGACTCACACAAAAAAATAAATAAAATGGGAACACTAAGTTCAGTATAGTTTAAATAGTATGCTATGATTGTAAGTTAGTGTAATTCCAGCTCTAGAAACTTGAATTCTAACTCTAAATGATACTGACAGGTGCGTTCTCTCTTCCCACTACAAATGTTTCAGAGGATGTAATTGATACTTGCATAATTTCACACGAGTTTTATAATTCAGGTCCTATTTTAAAAGCAAGGTCTACCAAATTTAGAAAAACAATCAGGCTTAGATAGGACATTTATTGGATTTATGTTTGGAAAAGTAAAGCTAAGCAGATAGTGAGCAAACTGCTCTTTCTCTAAACTATTTGGTTCTGTGAAGAAAGTAAAAGAACCAGTGTCCATGCTGGTTCAGGTCTACTCCTACATAAGATCTGTGTTTACAGAGACAATCCTGTTGACTCTTCTCCTCAGCACTCCACAGTCTGAAGCAAGCAAACTCACTCGGAGAAGTCTTTTCATTCCTACTGAGAGTTATTCTTTTTTTTTCATTCTTTTCTTTGTGTGTGTGCGAGTTCATGTGGAATGAGTTTGTGTATGCATATGCCCGTGGGAACGCAGAAGACAACCACAGGTGTAATTCTTCAAGATTTGTATGTCTTTTAAATGGCAGTAACTCTCACCAGCCTATATAATTCACCCAGGAGGCTTGTCAGTGAGCACCAAGTATCTGCCTGACTCTATCTCCCCACACTGGGATTGTAGTAGATGTGTCACCATGCCGAGTTTCAGTGTAGGCTTGGGGGCTGAATTGGTCATCCTGCTTCCGTGGCAAGTACTTACTGATCAAGATATTTCCCTTTAATCCTAGCACTAAGGAGATACATAAGACAGGAGTGTATCTCAGAGCTGGGATTTAGTCTCCAGCCACATTGAGGACAAGATTGCCCCAGCCTTGGTAAAGGTAAGAACTCTCTGATGATTTGGACGCTTTGCTTTTCTGATTTGACCATGAACCCCAATCTCTCTCTCTCTCTCTCTCTCTCTCTCTCTCTCTCTCTCTCTCTCTCTCTCTCTCTCTGGGTTTTTATTATTCATGCTACATTAACGTTAGCAACTAAGAGTCACAATACTCATTATTATCCTGGAGATGGACCTCAGCAGTTAAGATCACTGGCTGTTCTTGCTGAGAACCTTGTTTCCGTGCCTTAATCCTGTATTATGGATCAAAACCACCTGCAACTCCAGTTCCAGGGGGTCCAACACCTTCTTCTGGCCTCCAAGGCTACTGGACACATAAGTGCTACACAAACACACATGAGGGTAAAACATCCATATGAATGAAATGAACATGAATGTAAAGTAATTATCATATCTTAATGTGGAGAAGGAGGTATAGATCACAGACAGAGGAGTTGCAACGTGTGTGTAAGCATCTGGGGTCTAACTGCTCATAACAGTAGTACAGGATGGCACTGAATGGTGAGCATTCACACACATACAGAGACAGAGATAAACACACACACGCACGCACACACACACACACACACATATATGCAGAGGTCTTGGAATTATGTTTTTATCTTAAAATGTAGTACTACCATTACCTATTTCAGAAATTTGTATAAATTTCTAATGTGACACATCCAGTGTGCATCTGGAAAATTTGCCAGGGGACCTGGGCTCCTCAGAATAAGGAGAGAACTAAAGGATAAACTGAGGAGGTTGGGTTCCATAATTCATGCACCACTACAGGTAAAAAACTTTCCAGGGCTGAGTCTGAGACCTCCCCCTCTTTCACACTAAGGCATGGAGTCCTCTCCATGTGACTAAGGTAAATGACCTTGCATTAGGCTGACTTAGGGAAGAACCTGTGAGGGATCTGCAGAGACTGGGCCCAGTGCTCAGGTTCTGGGTTAATACAAGTTCACACTTGGGATGCAAAGATGCCTTTCGAACTGAGAGTGACAGTTGTCTCTACAACACAGAAAACCACCAAAGCAGCTCACAGAATTGGATTTCTTATATATTAATGATTGTAGTATTGCCAAAGCTTGAAGCAAATATTTGTCTGACTGGGTCATGAAGTCATCTTTTCTTTTCATATTAATCTACAGAGCAGGTTTGTTAGAGAACTGGTTCCTAACTGTGTCCCCTGACCTTCTGTCGGGAACCCCTGAGGGCTGAGCCCTGGATTGACCTCTGACCTCGGACTAAGTTCCAGCACAGTATAATACTCACCTAAAACACTTTTAACCACATCCTCCGTTAAGACTCCCTAAATTAGTGATTCTCAACTTTCCTAATGCTACAACACTTTAATACGAGTCCTTGTGTTCTGTTGATCCCAACCACAAACTTATTTTTATTTGGTACATCATCAAAAATTTTCCTACTGGTATGAATTATAATGTAAATACCTGTGTTTTCCAATAGTCTTAGGTGACCTCTCTGAAAAGGTCTTCAACCCCTGCAAAGAGTCCTGACACTTAGGTTGAGAACCTCTGGTATACATTATTCTGATAAATCTTCCTTGGTGAATAATTCTTACTAGGCATCCATAATTATAAAACCACCTTCTTTAAGGCAAGAAATCAACAACACATTAGGAAAAGGCTTTTATATTGGAAAACTTCATATAAGCTGAGCAATATTACAAGGACTTTCAATGCTTGCTTTAAAAGTCTCTCTCTCTCTCTCTCTCTCTATATATATATATATATATATATATATTCATACATCTAAACAATCCATACCTTTATCTTGGAAAAGCATCTCATTCCATGGGTTGCAACAATTCTCTTTGGTTCTCCCATGTTCTTCTGATTGTTTCCAGATGTTATTGTTTAAATGTCTTAATGCTGTCTTTCAAAAAAAATCAAACAGTTGTTAATTTAATTATTTTCTGAACTGTAATGAGGAAATAGTAAAAAAGAAAAATTCTTAAGTGTCTTAGTCATGATTCTTATTGCTGTGATAAAATACCAGGACCAAATCAACTTCAAGACGAAAGGTTTTGTTTTAGCTCACAAACTCATACCACAGTTTATCACTGATGGAAGTCAGGGCAGGAACACATGGCGGCAACCTGGATGCAGGAGTAGATGCAGAGGTCATGGAGGAATGCTGCTAATTGCTTTGTTCCTCATGGTTTGCTCAGCCTGCTCCTATACAACCCAGGGCTGCCTGCCCAGGGATTGTCCCACCCACAGGGAACTGGGTGCTCCTGCATCGATCTGCAATCAAGAAAATGCACCACAACCTAGATCATCAATCTATCTTCTGGGACATTTTCTCAATTGAGATTCCCTCTTCCTGAATGACCCTAGCCTGTGTCAAGCTGACATAAAACTTTCCCGCTCAGATGTGGAGATGGTTCAGTGGGTCACGTGCCTGACTCCTAAACTTAAGGACCTCATTTAGAATTCTCAGTAAAAACCTGGGCTTCTCTGCATCTGCCTGTAACCCTACTCTGGGAGGACCCAGACATCAGGATCACCTGAGTGTGCCAACCTGACACTCTATCCAAGTGAACAACTGACAAGTCCAGTGAGGACACTCCATTATAAAACGAAGGTGGAGCACTCTAGAGGAAGACACTCAGTATTGACTTCTGGCTCTCATGATATGCACACCTGTATGTGTGCACATGCACTTACACACATACTTGTGTTTAACACAAATCCATGCATACATATTCACTGCACACACACACACCAAACCCCTTGAATAAGAACAGTTTAACCAGTTCTTTGAATATTATAAAATTGTCTAGAAAGTTTTTTTCTATTCAGACTGACCTTGAAAATAATGTCATACAAGAAGATTTGTCTCATTTGATTTCTATTGAAAAAGTGAATGCAAATGGTTATACTTAGTCTTTGGTGATATTAAAGTTAGCTTCAGAGCTTGTTAGGCTCTCACCTTAAGCTAATGACAATATGTTTAAGATAAACTTTTCAATTTGTTATCAAAGCAAATGATACCCAGGTGATGTCCTTTGAACTCACTTGAAGGCTGCTGAATTTCAGAACTAGAAGACTTTCGTAGTGTTTATTCTAAGCCTCTACCTCACTGAGCCAAGGAAGGGTATTTGACCAGGCTTCCTTCTTGAGATCTTCACATTCCAAGACTTCCCTGGTGTCTCAAGAAGAGAAGAGAAACACATTCACAGAAACCTGGGGAGGCACGGAATTTTAATCAAGAAAACAACCAAAATTTAAAAAACCAAATAAGTCTACAATTTGGGATAAATTCAACACTTCTAGGTTAAAAATTTTCTGGATAGGAAAAGACCAGACATCTGGACATATAGCTATGTGTCTTTAAAGTAGGATATTTTTCATTACCATTTAAATATTTTAACTTGACCGTAGGATGTACAGCATTAATTTATGAGATCCTCTGAACAACATTCATTAAACATGCAATTCTGGATGGTTGTAAGTTTATGAAATATTTAAACAGTTTATCAGAGTTTCAAATCCCAGTCACAACTGAGTAATTGAGTAATTTTGTATGGCCCTAGTTCTCTTTACTGCCTTGCAGTTACAATAAATGCTTATTGAACACCCACTATGTGCAAAAACTATTGAGACCGAACAAAGAACATGATAAACTTGCTGTTGTATAGAGAAATAAAGTTGTTTGCGACACCTATTCTTCTGGGAAAAATAAAATTTCTTTAAAATAAATAAAGGCACATGGTAATAGAATTGGCACATATACACTGAGGTACATCTTACTTATTGTGGAAATAAGGAAAAAATTCATAGGATATGGATCAAATAATAGAGACGGTCTTGGCAGTTTTGAACAGACATAAGAATGAAACCCACCAGACGCAACACTACCATATAATATTTCAAGGCCACTTATCTTCCTGACTCTGGAAAGAATGATAGACACTCAAGTAAAGAAGAGCCTCAAGATTAAACCTACACCTACTATAGATGGCACATCAACTTCTCAACTCTCCTCACCTGATTCTCTATTCCTCGCTCTTAGTGCAATTTATCATTGGCCTTCTCTTTTTTCTTTCTCCTTTCCCATGCCTGAGCCTGGGCCAGTCTCCTTGCCTATCAGAAAGAGAATGTGCTCCTCTCCCATGTGAAAGATGTTCTTGCTTTCCCGAGCAGCTTAAAATATAGCCATTCTCAATATCTGCTTTTCATTTTTTTAGCCAAGAGAAACTACAGTTAGAATCTATATCGTGGGATGTCTCTTTCCATGTATACTAAGTAATCATCCCGGTTGTTTTTATAACCATCTTGAAGATTCCTTTCAGAACACTTTTGCTGTGTCAGAGGAGTTTTACAAGCAAGTGCCTTGACAGTAAATAAACCACACAAAACCAAGCACTTGAAAACAGACTCAATGTTAATGAACTAACCCCCACCTTCCTCTAACGTGCCAGAATTTTCTATGAAAAAATATACCTTTTCAGATGCATTTTGAACATATCCATAGAGGAAAAGAGGCAAAGCAACATCTCTCTCAATGATTCAACAAAACCTGTGCTACCAAATCCTGACTCCTGTCGAATTTGCCTATTGAGCACTTTGAACCTAAATGAAAAATGTGCACAGAGTCAGTGGCAGCCACATGAACAGTTGTTAGCACAGCATTGTTTAAACAATGACTTCTGCTCACAGGATCACACAGGATCACACAGGATCACAACCAAATCCATATCAATAATCAGTGCTCATGAAAACAGCATGTCTATCCTTTACCAAGCAGTAAACAATCATCTCTCACGGTCTTTAGCATTCACAAGAAAAGAAGGAACACACCACCCTCATTCTCAAACAAGAGTCCACAACCCTGAACCATTTTTGCTCTGTTTGTGTTATTGTAAAGATGTACAATGGAATGTCTGCTCTCTCAAACATTTTAAGAACACAGTGCAGAATTGTTAAGCAGGTGGGTGAGCATACTACAAAGCAGATCTCTAGAACAGCAACTACCTTGCAGTACTGGCACTCGATACACACTGAGCAGCATTCCTGGAAGGGAGACCTGTTGGTTGATGGTCCTAACAACATCACAGTCACAGGAGAATACAAGGTGAATAAACACACTCACCCATCTCGGTATCCACACAGTTTGTGGCTATCAGAAAATGCAAGCTGTTCATCCCACCTCACTCTGTGCTATTGAATTAATGAAGCAAATGCTTTGTTTTACCATGGCCAAGAGAATGAAACATACATGAAGAAGTCTTAGGAGACGGTCCTCTCCCTCGTGAGGGGAAAAAGGTCACAGCAGCAAGAGTCTTATGAAAATCACTTTGTTCTGGAATCCTCAAATTGTCTCTAACTGCTAGAGACAGCCTATTGGGTGCTGTCCAGCTGAAATGCTTCCAACCAATACCAAGCCAGGGAAGGGAGTGGAGAGTCAGCAACAACTTTTTGTTTGATTCCCAGCAAATCATTTTACTTTGGTCAAATTTTTCCAGTCAGAAATCAAAGAAGACAACATGAATTATGCCAGTGAAGTCTGACATACATAGGAACAATTTTACTTCCTACATTCAAAGTACCTGGAATGTGCCACTCTAGAGAAAACTTAGCCAGACATCAGGATAGTACCCATTAGTGTGGTTGTACCGTGAACAAGACTGGAACATGAACAAACCCTGCACCAGAAATCTAGACAGTTTATGTCTTTGGATGTGTTCTAAGTCTAGACTGAGAAGCAGAATTGGAAATTTAAAACATAGAGCCACCTGTGAATATCATCAATGTCACTTCCTGTACCAAACATATCTAGAGAATGGAAAGATGATTGCAGGAGATCCATTTCCCACACTTGAGACACTCACTTTGACCTAGGTCTCTCCAGGCAACTTTAATCTCTCTAATGCACAGTCCTGTTGAGCCCTGTACCTTCTGGTTAAAGCAGGAATCAGGCCAAGGCAGTGTGGAGAAAGCTCACTCTTTGTTTTTCCACATGATATTTTTAGTCATTCTTTTAGGAGCTTCACATCATGCACCCTGATCAGAATCCCTCCACAGCCTTTTCTTGCCCACATCCCCTCTTGTAACACACACACCCCAAAAAAGCTGTAAAAATAACAGGAAGAAAGAAGTTCACTTTGTCATCTATACACTCACTGGAGCACAGTCAAGTTCTCAGTGTGGGCGCATGTGTATGTGGTATGAATGCATGTGTGCATGGATGTGTGCACCTGGGCATGTGTGAGTGTGTTCATGGGCTCATGCATGTTTCCAGGGGTAAATATTGACTTTATCACTTATGACTTATGTGACCTTAGACACTGTTTGACCCTCTGTGCTTTAAATCCTGTATCTTCATTTTGGGATGACAATACTCATGTCATAGGGCTTCATGAGAACTGAACACTCTGATGTGACATGTTTCCAGAAAAATGTATAAGACATGTCAAGAGTATATTAGGTTGATGTTTATTATTTATTCCCTATAATCTCCCATGACATCCAGCTATATCAGGATAATGTGTTATCTAATGAGACCAGAACTGTCTCTTTCCAATGTAGCAGAATTTTTTCAGGAAAAAAGATTCTTTTAAACTTTTCTTATGTGTTTGTTAGTCATGCAGCTGAACAACACACATCACACATGGAGTCCAAATAACCTAAATAAGCTGGTATTTCAGAATGTGGTGACTTATCTCTTGTCTATCCTTGAGTCACTATCTTTACCATCCACTGGTAATTTAAAACTCCATTATATATGTCAAATACAGCAGCTGAATTTCTGTGCTAGGATAGGTTTTCCCTTAACTCTCAATATTTATTCACTCAAATCAGGGTTTTATGAACTTACAGGT